GTGCGATAAATGATAGGGCGGGTATTCTTGTTTTTTCTTGTGGTCTAGTCTACAAATACCAATCCCAGCTAACACAATTCCCACCCGCCTCCTCTATCTTGTTCTTGTATTACTAGAATTCCCCCGGAATTATTGTTTAAACTTTCAACTCCCTCGAAATATAAACCCCTTCGATACCATGCCATTCTACCCCTACAACCTACTACATAACCTGTAAACGAAAAAGGGGCATGGCAGGGTGGTGGTGGTGTGGCAATTGTTTACTGTCCATACTTTGTATGCTGCAGGCCCAGGGTCCATAATAGAATTTTAAGAATCCTTCTGGGGCCAAAACTGACAATCGCAGGAGCAGTTTATCTTCTTCTTCTGCGGGATATGCCTCTTCCATCAAGCCCCATTGTGTACCTACATTTATCTGGTAGCTGATGGCCTCACTTATCAATGAGTCCCACTCTGTCCTACCTACTGGAACCTGCTGCAGGTGGTCAAAAATTGGGACCTGATACAAACCTAGGTATGCTTGTTTGTGCAGCTAGGGAATCCATCTGCGACATCCAAAGATTAGACGGGTGGTGTTGGCCGTGCAATATGTATTGGCAGTATTCCTGGGCAAGCACGGTCAAAGATTGGACATGCACTGGACGAGAATTGCCCAGCCATAGGCCTCCTTTACAGTCGTTATCTTTGGGTACCAATCATCGAGGACCACCTTAATGACACCTGCCCAGTCATTGCATCTCACGAAAGACAGGTAAGCTAATGATCCGGTCATCCAATGTCTCTCCGACCCGCCTCCCCACAACTACATGTACTCTTGCGTTCAATCTATCACTTACTAGCTCATGTACTGGCACTCGATGCTACATACAATATATTCCTCCCACCATTATGTACCTAGAGTAAGTATTCTACTCTACATAAGTGCTCCTACTCTTTACTACCAAGGGAAAAAAAAAGGAAGAAATAATACATAATGCAGAACTTTGGACGGCAAGGTGCAGGGAAGGAAAAAAAAACTGTGCGCTGGACGAATTATGAAGGGTCTGACATCCGTGGGATTGAAAGCGAAAGAAAGACGTCATCTGTAAGGAATGCCTGCAGTGGTGCAAGCCACGCAAGCTAAGTAACAAAGAGCAGTTGCCTCGCTTACTCTTTGGCTGGGCAGAATTTCAGCCTCCCTATAATACGGTCAATAAGTCACTTCACGATCCTCTATTGACGGGGAATTTCTGGATCTGAGGCTGGGCTCCCAGAAAAGTGGACACCGAAATCGGGACGGGCAGCTAGAGTATTCATCGATACTCTACTCTACCATACCTTGCATGTATTGGCTTCCGCCTTATGCACTCCTGGAATTTTTATCACCCAGACTCGTCCCATAAGCTAGGGCGGGCCATCCCACGTCCGACCGTTTATGAACTTCATCCCTGTCAATCTGGATGAATCATAGTCCCATTTGATGTTAATAGGCATCGGTGCCAATCTGCTACTCGTCGATGAACAGGTGGGTGATCCTCGAGGACAATAAATCGTTGCTCCTAACTTATATTGCTGAGGTAACCCCTTTTCAATTGTCCCTTCAGCATACCGGTAAACAAAAATCTAAAGTCTGCAAGGAAAAAGAACTCTCAATGTATCTCTACCTAAGGGGATAGCAGCATATTCATATCCAGATTCCCGACGGCCCTCGTGTCAAAGCTATATTTGGGTGATCCCTTCCCAGCATTCACGATTATCGGGTGCACGCTCTTCCGCTTTTCTATCATCCACTATCCGCGATAAGTCCGCGCGTTTCTCTATCGTGACACTGCGGCATATCCCGTGCATACAGTTGAGTAGCAGCCTGCGCTATGTAATAAAGGGACAAATCCAGGGCCCACAGGGATGGATCACCAACCACTTGCCTTGACTGTGGTCCGCAGTCATCTCTCTCGGAAATCACTTCCATTGACACCGCTCCTGGGGAATCCTATCTTCAACCCATGAGATTCTCATGGGTTGAATCCAATTTGGCAAGCGGTGCCTCTCACCGTCGAGGATAACAACTGTGCTTTTTCTCAAAAAGATAGAGTTAGTCAATCACGAATGTATTTCTGTCAACAGAGAGTTTATTTTGGAGCGCCCTTTGTTTATGTGGCTTGCACAGGTCCATAATTCGCCACGCTTTAATCTCAATTCCACTCTACTTATGACAAATAAATTAAACTCAGGTGCGGAAGGCCGATATCCGACTAACGAATACCAGGAATTTTCGCGAAATTAAGCGACGTCATAATCTAGATAAAAGCGTTACTCAGGCACTCAATAGTAGAGTCAATACCCAATAGGGAAAAGCAACAGTGGAGACGCTGTCTTAGGAATCTTAGCATGTTCTTTTCGCATGTTTTGCCGGCTTTTCCAAATGTTTCCGGACGTCATATTTCCAGAGATCTGCAATGTCAGGCTTTTCTCCTGCAGGAACCACAAACAATGAAGCCTTTCGCTTAGCTGTGATGTGCAATTTTCGGCACATAAATTATTGCTTGTGCAGGCGTCAATCTTCAAAAAGTGAAAGTGCAGACAGCTGTAAGGAACGCGCATAATCCGTCCTGATAGAAAATACATTCCTTCTAGAAGGTCACATCTGAAGAAGAAATCACAGGCGAAATATTTGAAAAGAACCAGTTAAATTATTATCACAGTGGAAAGGCGCTAAATACTATAATTTCTTTTTGATATAAACAATGTCCCCGAGGCACTAGATACTATTTGATATAAACAACTTCCCTGAGGCACTAACACGCCCCTTTATGCCGTCTTGGTGCATGCTCGAGGCACTTTCAAGTCAAAATCAACGTAATATATAAAGTTACACATGTTTCATGGATCAAGCTCTACTCTAGAAGGCGTAGCCGTTACTTTTTCACAAGGTGTCTTATGGGTTTCTCTGGAGTCCGGGGAAACCAGGATATCGCAGCAAAAATTCAATAACAGAATGTGGTAGTATATCTTGGAAGTCTATATAGATGGTCACCTGATAACGTATTTTGATAAAGGGAAAATAAGAAAATGTTATTTTTCTTCAGACAGTTGCCCGCAGCATTCCATGTATTACGGGTGTAGGGGTAAGTTTGTTGACAGTGAGAACTGTTGCAACCACGGCCACTGTCAACAGACTTACCCCGACATGCGTAGTGCTTGTGGCGTTTATATAAATCCATCCTAACCAACAGACCTAAATATCAACACCCAGATATACATCCAGATATACACCACTTCGATGTTTATGATTTGCATATAAGTGCATATGTATGTATACCCTGGCGTTATCCTAACGTTTGTTCCGAGGCCATGAGCTTCAGGCGTGACCAAGTCCCAAAGCTTGAAACTCAGTCACAAAAACCTAATTGGCCTCATCATAGACTTTACCCCACATACAGAATAATTTATGCAGTCATTGGCTGTTGCATTCACTACGGATTTGCATACAGAAATCATTTTAGTTGAAGTCTAATCCAAGTACTATAGAGCTAGGGAATTTTAGCCTTCGATGCTTCTGCCGTAATACTGCTGAAGAATCCCTGTGCACCACACGAATTTTAGAAGAAATATTGCCGATTACCGGATCTCAGGGCAGACGAAAAAACTTCTAATGAAGTTCTACAAAGATTTCAAAACGCACGAAAGTTTTAAAACTTCACAATGGGGATCCGGTATATCCGTACCCAGATAGGCCTCGGGGAATCGCGGAAAGAAATCGTCAATGACACAAGATAACAGGTGTCTCGTATAAAAGCCTTCAGCTCGACTCCTAGCAGTTGTACGTGCTTGAATGTGCTTGAAAACAACCCCAACAGAATCGTCTGATTTTCTTTCGCGTAGGATTTTTTTCCTTTTGATCTACATGCAGGCAGAACGTGGAAAACAACACCTGAAATTCGACCCTGTACCGAGTATGTGCTCCATAAAGGTGGAAACCCGGAGGATATCTGTTCGTGGTTCCAACCAGTGGTTCCACAACGTGACAGCACCGAGATCCTTTTTTTCCCAAAACGGCGGCTATCTACAGCACGCAACATTCCGTGTTGTGCCTCGTAAGAGTATGAGAGGATATATGAGACCATTCTCAGAAGATGTCTCGGCCGATGGGTTTTTCCATCAGGAACTCTGGCTGACAGGTTTGCTGGGAATTGCGTTTTTTCGCCTTTTCAGAGAACCACTGCACCACGCTCGGTCGAGAAGAGAGCAGAGAGCCAGATAGCCGAAAATATTTTGTCATCGTATCGCAGGCAGGGTGTGCACGGACACGCATGTACTGTTACGCTCCAGTCACGGCTGGATATTCCGAGCCCGGTCGATCTGCGTGAATAATATTTCAGCTTGAGATGCCAAGTCACGGGTATATTGGACCTGTTTCAGTCGCCAGCAGCTAGCACCAGCACCAGCAGCAGCAGAACCAGGCTCCAGCAGGCACTCATTGATAGGGGGGTTCTAGACGGGTCGGAGTAAATACCGTCCCTAGCCTGGAAAAGGGATTAGGTTTTGGATCAAGCATATCGTGTTCTTGCCCTATTGTCCAATACTATCCTGTGTCTAGCGCTTCTACTGCTGATTCTGTGCCGATGGCGGTTTTCTTTTTGAGGTTATCGAGATTTCAATCGCTCACTAAGTATGATCGCCATGTGGTTCTGGCAGCCTCGCAGCCGGGCCAATGTTACAGGTCAAATAAATGGTTTTCTTTCCCGGAAATTATTGAAATTCTTTGGATAGTAATACATTTTCGTCCAGGTTATTGGACGCCTTTTGATTATATTTTTAGCGTTAGCTTCTGACCGCAATTTAATTTTCCGAATTAACCAATTCTCTGCATGTGCATCGAAGAAACAACACAGGGGTATCTTGTTAAAGCAACTATCATGAAACATGCAGAAATAAATAATCATTCAAAAACAGAAAAAAAAGAAAACAACACAAACCCTAAAATTACACCGGTCGACATCACAAGCAAGCTCAAGTAAGTTCTACGCCTCCTCGTCTTCTACCTCTTCCATCTCCGCCTGGAATCTCGTCAATTCCTCGTCAACATCCGGGGCAGCATTTATCCTCATCGATATAGCCTGCGCCGCCGTCAACTCCCCGTCAGCTGCATCTTGATCCGCCGCTTTCTTTTCCTCGGCTTCCCGTTCTTCTTTGGCCTTCTGGGCCTCTAGCTTCCGCTTCACAGCAGCAGGAACGAAAGCTGCAGCCTCCTTCCGTAGATCGCGCAGAATGGGCGCGGACTCGTATGTAGTTTTGACGACGGGCGCCGCGGGCTTTTCGGGGAGAGCATGTGGTTGACGGGGCCCTTCCCGGAGTTCGGGTTCGGGCCTCTGTTGTCGGGGTAGAGGAGGTGGTGTGCCCTCGGGTATTGGGATGTCGCGAACGGAGGAAGACGTAGATTCACCTGTAGTAGCAGTAAATAGGTTATTAGCAAAAACCTACTCCCTCGTAAACCCCTCGTAGATATAGAATACACATACCAGAATCACTCTCATCGCCCGCACGATCAAATTGCGGCCTGCCGGGACCTCGTCTCTGGAACTGCACAACCATAATCAGCCTCGCCTCATCGCACTCAAAGCTAGAGCTTAAAAACCTACATTACTTGATCCAAAGTCCGCACCGGCTGCTCTCTTAACCCCAGCCTGCTGCCCACCACCTCTCCCGCCTCTCTCCGCAGTACCTCCCGCCTCCCTTCTTTTTGCCCTCTCCTCCTCAATTTGTGGGCCTAGCGTCTCTCTCGCCTTCTTAACCGCCGCGAGATCCTTTTCCAGCTCCGCAAGCTGCTTCTTATCGTGTGTCGAGATGCGACCACTCTCCTGCAGCGCTACCAGCTCATCAATCTGCTTCTGGATGCGATCCGGGTTGCGACGCGCGAGCTTCTCCGTCCGTATCTTAACCTTCTCGGTCTTTCCCTTTTTGATCTGCTTGGCCTTTTCTTTCTTGTGCCAGGCCTGCATTGTCGCTGTTTGTAGTAGTAGTAGTAGTAGTAGTAGTAGTAGTAGTAGTAGTTGTAGATGGGTTTTGGTGGGGGACTTGGGAGTTTGGTTGTTGTTGAGGCTGAAGAGGTGTGGTCGAATTTGGGTTTCTGTCGATCTACGGGTAGAGCCGTGGGGTTCCCTGCTTTAATTGTCCAGCTTAGGCTATGAGACGTGGCACGTGGTCACGTGAGAAGGTGGCTAAGACTTTCTAGAAGCTGGAGTGGTTGGCTTGATCATTGACGGCGTGTCCGGATTTTACGGTTTGTGGGGATGCACTTGAAACGACGAATGCGTTTCGCGTCTCGGGGGGCTGTGGACCGGGAAATGGCTTTTTTGGTTCGGTTTTGACTTTTAATATTGTTTACTGACTCTATGTTTGGCAGAAGATGACACTCTCACATGGCCTAGGGACTGGGAAGAGGGTCTTGACTTTGTTTGGGAATTGCTATATACTTTGTAGACGTATGTGGGGGTAAGACTGTACTCGGGTTGCTACAAACGCGGGGATAGAGTTTAAATTTGCCACAGGCTGCCGATGTCAAAGTATATGCATGGTGGTCGACGCATGTACCGAAGTTTACTTTGAGTCTGATGGAGCACATGGGACCCCTTTCGGTAGAGAATTCCTTGAAACTTGAGTCAAAAAGACTGAAGAGTTGTGGTAGCAGTCATTTGAGGGTGTTTTGGATGCGTGAGTACGTATACTGATATATAGGTTTATGCACCCAACCCTTAAACTCAGTAGTGCCTCTAGATCTGTGGCTCTTTGCAGAAGTTTTCTATGCGTTACTATATATATATACTTGTACTTGAAACTGTAAATTCATATCCTGTAATACACGGGGGTGATACCCTTTGTGGGTCGATGGGCTCAGGGCGATATATATTTTCAATTGTTGTGACTGTAATATTGGGTGTTATTTTCCTATGCATAAGTAACACTGTATACATCTGGAACAACATACCAAAATTACCGCAATTACCGGGTGCATCTATGGCAATACAGCCTTACTGTCTCCCTCTTCCACCATCTCCTGGTTTCGTCCCTGATTCCAATCAAGGAGTAATATCCATTACCCGCCACTACCGTTCTGATCTCTCATAGTACTGAAAAAGCAATGGTAGAGCTATTTTCTCCTCTAAAGCAGATCCTTCATATTGGTTTTCAACAAATTGTAGTGGGACTGCAGTAGTAAAGGCACTACCGCGAGATCAACCGCGCGGATAAATGTCCCCCACGATTGACCCGATACCACACTACTGATAGCGGTTAAACCAAATGCAAAGCACTGAAATCACCTCCACATGACATTCAACCGTGCCTCACGGTCAAACTGCCATCCACAATTTTGTGCACGGAGGTTCGTCTTGTAGAGACGCCTGTCCCTCCATCCTCCCCTTTCGGGGGATCGCTGGCGGTTGTTGGAGAGGGCTGAGAGGCGGTGATGAACAATTCAAACATGGGGTTTAATTCGTTGTAGATGATATTATGGAAATTTTAGGAAGAGTTGTTTGTCCTAAACTTCGGGATGGGTGCATGTTGGACCCGGATGGGGGTACCGAAAGCTCTAGGCATTCCAATACTTTGCTCAATAACTTACATATATACGTTAATGAGCGCCACTTTCAAGTTTCTCCTACCTCTACTTATGCTAATCCACAATTCTAAATCGAACATTTTCGACCTCAGAGTCAAGCAAGATATCAGCTAGTTTCTGTAATGACTAAGCAGTTTGAACTTGTTATCACATGTCAAATCATTTCCACCATTCACACCCCAATCTCGCCCGTGTCTGTAATCCTCATTACCGGCATTCCATGGAGAGTTGCACTTATATCAATAGATATTACCCTAACCATACAAGGCTACGTTGATATCCGTAGGCGCTAGAAAGTTTGCCGATCATGGTTGATCACTCGGTTATTCACGACACCTAGTGGATATATGGCTTTTCAAATGACAGCACGGCCAGACACGTCATATATCCGCTACATCATATCTTTTCCCGCTCAATCATGACTGTATAATTAGCTCGCTTGAACTCTCCAGTCCACAAGACGTTCAATCAAGTCTTTGCCCTCTCTCGATCTCGTCTCTCTACCGATCTTCACCTGGATCACACCGAATTGAGATAACCAGGTATGCTAACTAAATTTAGAGTGGAGGATCTCCAACCTTGTTTGCAGATGGTAACGCAATGACCTTTTTAAATTGAAAAGTGATGCATCTTGCTGAATGGCTTCAATCTTGTATCCTTGAACTATTTGGACCAGTAGGGTATGCTCCGCTACATTTCTGCACTCCATGGTCATAATTGGGAAGGGTGCGGCTAAGAGGTTTTACTTATTGTCCACAGACCACCTTCGTAAAAGCGAGGAGTTTCGAATACACGTACGGGAATTGTTGTACTGGTCTCTAGCGATATATAGTTGGCTTTCTATTTCTACGTTTGATAATATCCAGAAACTCCAACCCCGCTAGCAGGGAACTGAAGTACTATAAGTATAGGTTATATAGGAGCTTAATATCAAGAGAGAAGTATGAGAAATCGTCTTTGCAGTCATAATGCTTTTCTCTCTTCTTTCCTCATTTCTTCATTTTACGTTAACGAGGACGGATCTAGGAGGCGCTGGTACCAATATATTACTTCTCTATTCCGTGGTGACCCGTTAGAGTTCTGAGTAACCAGTATTTGACTGTGAGTGTTTTGAGATCTCATCTCTTTCCTGCACCCACTAGTGCAACTAGCGATGATATGTCGGCATCCAAATTTCAGACCAAAGGTCTTACCCTAATCTTTATAGGATGTGGGGGGCGATTCATATATCTGGTAGTATTAAGGCGTGTTAACCACAGGCCTCATGGTGGTGCAATGTTAAGAATATCTTTAGAAGTCCGTCCACCCACTCGAATCACTTTGTTCCGTTTCAGGGACCCTCACGTTTCAGAGCTGCAGAAACCCAACGCCTTCACTTTCTGATGTGTTCGACCGTCAGACGAGCGTCTATCCTATAGGACTGAACCTGTTACTCGTACAAATTTCCATACGCAGTGCTACATTAACGGAGGCAGAGAGAAAAACGAAAGAAAGGGAAAAAAACGCATTCTAGCATTCTCGTGCGGGGGACCCGAATAGATCCAGTCACAAGCACTCATTACCGGTTCTGCATTTTGAATTGAGACGAACCCCTCATTTTACGGGTTCGTTTTACTATCTCTAACTCTCATACAGGGGGGGGGGGGGGTGAAATATCCTAGGGAAGAACATTTTGCGGGAGTTTGTTGGCGAGTTGAGTGGCCAATCAGAAAGAAGAAGGCTGCTCTTTGTCTCTTTGCTTTTATACAGCGAGTATTCGAATGTGCTCGGGTTTGGTTGAGGAGACATATGTTGAGGTGGTGGCGCCTGAAAACGAGATATCGCTGCCCGGAAAAATTGGCTCAACAGGCCCACCCGGAATTTTCGCTGGATGGCGTGGGCGATCCCCCCTTCCCAGTTGGCACCGTCCACTTCATGCTTTAATTCAACCCGCGTCAAACAATTTACCAAATCCCCCCCCCCCCCCACCAAGTTTGATTCTAGGTTTGAGCACCTCTGTTACCGGCTGCCGGTTCCTTGAGGTGCTTGTGATCTTCATAGAATTTTCAGGTTTCTTTACCCTTCAAACCGCAATTGAAATATATTGAGATAAAGGGTTGGAAGGACATTTGCAACACATGGATCCTAGAATATTGACTTTCTTTGATTGCCTAGTCATTCTAAAAAAACTACCGTCATCTACAATACGGTGGATGTAATCATCGGACCCTCGACCTCCTACATATGTCATCTCAGCACAATCCACCACTAAGCATGAAGGGGGGCAAATACAACTCACCATTCTTTTCTCCTTTCCACAGATCAATTCTACGATCGTCAATGCCCACAACAGTGCGGTCCCAGGCCTTTGTTCTCGACAAATCAGTCACACAACCACCCTGACGCGCACATGCAGAGTAGTAGGTTACTAACCCACGAGAAGTGATCACCTTCCCATCAACCACCACCCTCTCCTCCTCATATTCCCATCCTTTTGCGACGATCTCGTCCTTAACACTGGGATGACTCGTAACCTTAACCTTTCCCTGCTCGGGGAAGGAGGAAGCTGATGCCACCAGAGCACTTTAGAAGTCAGCAATTGAACTCTGCATTGATAGGCAAGGGCATTTACGTGGTACCAGCGCAGATACACGCTATCCACTTTCCCTCACGGCGACAGCGGTGGAGGAGCTCCAGTGTGACTTTGTCCTCTGAGAGAGTCTTTGCTCCAGGACCGCCGCCGGGGATAATCAGGATGTCGGACTGTTTGACTTCAGTTTGAGTATACGTATATATATCAAACATAGCTGTTGCTTCTGCAGTGATTGGATATTCTACCTCGATATCATCGGCATTGCTATTGGCAAACCCATCTTGGTCTGGGATGATCTTGAGGCCTCTTGATAGTCTGGCACGGGCGAGATGTCATCAATCTACTCCGTTGCTTGTTGAAGATAACATGTTTTACATACTCTACCCATGCTCTGTTTTGTTGCGCATCTGCACGGCGCACAGCTATGGAACGAACATTGAAGCCAGCCCTTACAAGAACTACAATGTACTAGCGTTAGCTCAAACGAGCTCGCATCGAGATGAAGGGCAGTAGTCGCAAACGCAAACACCGAACCACTCACCATCAAAGGCAGTCACAAACTCAATCTCCTCTGACCCATCCGCGACGAGAATAACTGCAGAGGGCTTTGTCATGATTGAATGATTTTGTATAAAATTAAATCGTAGTAAAGTTACTATGCTATGTATGTAGGAGGTGGTGAATATCGTCTGTGCGGGGAGAAGATAAAGAGTGAGGCTCAAAAAGCCCTGCCAAGACGGGTTGCGTCATAGCTCCCTGACCTATGCACTGAGTGAGTGAGACATTGTGAAGCGAGCGATGTCTCATGATTCCGGCCCGTTCCGGACTACTGTGTTGCTGTTCAGCTCATCTCCTCTGAAGCTATCTAATCGACAGAAGTAGCAAAAGGATTAAGGAGGAGAAGGAGAAGAGAAAAATTAAAATGAAGAAAAAAAGGGGGAAATGAAGCAACATATATCAAGCAGAGAAGGAGGAAACTGAGGTTGAGAGGTAGCTGCTTAGCTAGCTAGCTAGCTGGCGCGCGCGCTGCATACATAATAACACTTGATCAAGGATGATCAAGGATATGTCTCGGATTCAGGGCACCAAACTGTATTTAACCTTAGATTCGATGCATTCCGTACGCGTTACATACAGCTCATCTCTCTCATCTAGAGTGCCTTGGGTACTTCATGTACTCTAGAGCAGCAGGTACCTACATACTTCATACATGCTCTAGCAGTTACATATGCCTCGCATATTACAACAATAGATCCACCATCTAGTCTGTAGTCAGAGTAAATAAAGAAATGCAACTAAAGGCAACAACGAAAGAAAAAAAAGGGGTGGAGGGGCTAAGGAGGATCGAAGGGGAAGGGGGAGGGGGTGGTTTCAAGAACACCGCCAAAGAACATTCCATCGTTTCGGCTCCTCCCTCTACATGCAGCATACAGGTGCGCTTTGACACGAAGCCAGGGGGAGGGCTGAGGCGAAGGTGGTGGTCACAGTCACATAGGGCAGGACAGGAACAGGAACATGGATTCATTAATTCTCCTTTCGCATCGCGCTTCTGGAATAATTCGGAGGTGAGGTAGGATGAGTAACGATCCATGCCATGCCCGGGGGATCGTATTATTATTATCATTATCGAGAGCCCATGAGCCATGGGACTCACAAACATCTCCGTCTATTTCTCAATAGCTGGCTGCTGACACCTGACGTCAGACAGCCCGCCGAGGTGCGCTACTACTTGATGTCTTGATGTGATGCGTGTATGTAGATATGCTAAGCGGCCCTTTGACGACACCCACTCTGAATTCCTTCTCTTTTCTCTCTCAGGAACCAGGCCAGGCCCCGGAGCGGAAGATGGTAAATAAAATAGAAAATAGAAAAAGGGAGTAAAGGAGGAGTCGGAGATTTTTCCTTGTGCGATCTTTGTATCTTTGTGCGCCTGATCCACGGAACTGGTGGGGTGTGTGTGTGGGGGGGGGGGGTGTGTAGTGCACACCACAAGACAGGACAGGACAAGTGACTGACTGATTGATTGACAGGCTGGTTTGGGTTGGTTAGTTTGGATTAGAGTTAGAGCTCAGCTGAGCAGGACAGGATAGGACAGTAAGAGAGAGAGAGAGGGTACAGTCCGCCTGTAACTTCCCCACCGCCCAAAACCTAATCGGAGAAGAGGAGGGGGGGGGGGGGGGAATAGAGTTTATCAACGAAGGGTAAAGTTACATGTAAACAACAAAAGAAAGGAACAGCGAAGGGGGGTGTGCGAGAGAAGGGAGGAAACAACTCGAGGTTTATCTGCTCCCACTCCCCTTCTATCTCCTCTGGTGAGATTCGGTGAAAGTGATATCTGCTACCGAAGCCTTTTAAGCTTGAACGCGCCGCGCCGGATTGGCCCCATGGGCTGGATGGAGCAAACGCGCGCATGCTTGGCCTGGCCTGGCCTCACATCCAGTCTTTTATCCGCACCGCACCGCACCCGTCCATATCCACCGCGAGGTTTCTTGCTGGCGCACTGTTATATCAACTACCACTATATCTCCTTCTCCACCCCTCCCGTTCTCTCCGGCTGATCCGGGGTATAAATTTATAATTTAAGAAAAAGTAGAGAATATCTACAGCAGCGTAGGTAGGGGAAATGAAATCCAAGCCTGCTGCTGCTGCTGCTGCTGCTCTCCACGAGTCTCTATTTCAGTAGGTATATATGCCATACCTACAGGAGCTATCTCCCAATCACAATTCCCCCTCCATGCGCGCACAAAAAACAAAGAAAAGAAGCCCTTCGCTCCCAATATTCGCACCTTGAGTATCGGAGTGAGTAAATGGCCCTACCGTATCCCCAGCTCTCCCTCTACTACCTCCCTCCCCCCCCCCCCCCCCCACCACACACACGCACCCTTCCCTTTCCCTCCCGAGCTTCCCTCCCGCCGTTCCTGCGCTCGGTACAATATCCCGAACCCAGTGCACTATATAGATAATTCCTCAGCTGGGGGAAGAATGGGGGAGAGAGAGGGGGGGGGTTTAGATTAGATAGAGAGAAAACCCACAAACAATAAAAGCACCTACATGCTTAGATTAAGCCGTGTTTATTGCGTGGTCTGCACTCCCACCAAAAAAATCCATTGAGCTAGCCAACCAGCCAGGTGCAAGTAATACAAGATCTGGGGTAGTTAGTTATTCCTACCTTCTCCGGTTACGGACGGCGGGCCGGATTGGTAGACCAAATTACCCTCCCCAGGCAAGCCATGGCCAGGCAGGCAGGCAGGCCGGGGCCCTGATCTTCAGATTCAATTGAATTCAGCTTCAACTGCACTTTCTGCAACACACAACAAAAGTGAAAATATGTACCGTAAGCCCACCACCACGGCTTGTCTGGTGAATAAAAAGACGACCCGTTCGTCCTGTAGACATCGTCAACGGCTGCCACTGCTGCTAACTAACTAACCTACAGATACTGCGGTATAAGCTATATATACTGCCACTTTCTGCTGCTGCCACTTTCTGCTGCTGCCGCTGATGCTGCTGATATGATGCTGCTGATATGATGCTGCTAGCTACATGTAGCTGCGCATTGATAATATATCGCCATGGCATGGCCCCACGACCTAAAGAACGAACTATCGGAGCTAGCTTATAGCTGCTTAACTGTGTAGCTACTGTACTCTAGCTAGCATCTCCAATTCCTTCTCTTTACCTACCTACACCCGAGGAAGAGGTAGGTAAGGTAGATAGATGTAGGGCGTGGAGGTCCGGTCCGGTCCCGCGTGATCACACATCACACCTGGGCTGGTGACAAAGGGGATCGGCTTCCCCGCGCCCAGAGATTTTATTTCGTGCCCTGAAGAAGCAAAAAAAAAAAAAAAAAAAAGAGAGGAAGGAAAAAAGAAACAACTCCATGATAATGATGCTGATCATAATAATGGTAGAGAGTAGGTTTGTATGTAATGTTATGGTATGTTATGTTTAGAAAAAACCTATGATAACCGAGTTCCAGATAATTGAGAAACCCCTACTAGCTAGGGCCAGGCCTAGTATGCGTATGATATGAAAAAAAAAAAAAAATGACCCCCCAGGAAGATACACAAAAAGAAGCCAGAATAGAATACCTAAAGAAACCCCGTGGCCCAGAAAAAACCCGTTGATGATAAAAACCGCAGAGAGCTGCAGAAATTAAGTACAATAATAAAAATAAAAAAGGTTTCGTGGTTGAATAGAATAAAAAGAAATAAAAAGAAATAAAAAAATAAAAAATACCCGTAGCCTTGAGATCTGTACACGCGGGGGGGTTTTTTTTTTCTTCTTCTCTCTTTCTCCCCCGCCCCCTGTTGAAACCCTTCCTCCACCGGGAGAAAGTAAAAGAAAGAGAAAGAGAAAGAAAGAAAAGAAAAAAACAGCCAAATTTTACAGTTGAATAGGAAGAAAGGAAAGGAAAAAATAAACCCTAGAAAGAAAGAAGAACCCGGCCTGTACACCGCCAGAACCCAACCCAATTCCCGCCTCTCCCGATCTATGTCCATCACCCCCACCCAACGATCTAGCTACCGTACAGCGCCGATGTACTCCAAAATGGACAAATGAAAGGGAAAAAAAATGTTTGCAAAGCAATGTTCCAGTCCGTGATAGAAAAAGAAGCAAGAAAAAGAAAAGAAAAAGACCAAACAAAAAGATAAAAGCCGTTTTTTTTGAACCCGTAAACCCAGTGACGAGGAAGAAGTAGAAGATAGAAAAGTAGAAAATTGTGTTTTAAAACACAAAACCGTGGAGTGAGTAAAAAAGAGAAGAGAAAAAACCGAATTGGAACCCAAGACTGTGTCTCGCCCCTCGCATTGAGGTGCAGCCAGTCCTGGTTTCCCCGAGTTCCCTGTTCATAATACATTACTTCGTCATCCCAACACCGTATCGTAACCAAACACCACCGTGTAAAAACTCCGAATGACCCATAAGAAAAGGAAGTCCAGACAAAGGAAAAATGCGTTGCTGTGTAGTCGCTCGTGAAGATGGAGGATTCGCTTATTCGCCTATTTGCTAAGTGTAGCCGACCTTTGGCCCAAAGTACCAATTCATCTGCTCCGGAGATCCACCCATGATAACCCGGTGCCCGGGCTTCCTCCTTGGCTTGCTAATCATCCGCTTCTCGCCCCTTATGGTGATATTTCTGAAGTTGCAGATGAGGTAGACTTTATGCACTACCTGACGGTCCTCCGGCTTTTCGAGCATCTGGCGCATAACAGGCTGAAGGTCTTCATAGGCCTTCCTAGGATCGTTTGAATACTCCTTTTTGACAACCTTTTTGAAGAATTGGTTGTCCAGCTTGTAGTGCATACCGGATCGGTACTCTGAGATGCTCGATGAAAGAGCAGGCGCGGGGCTTGGTTGCGTGTAGATGCTCGGGAGAATCACTGTGGCAGACGATGCCCTCTGGGGTGATATGGCATGTTTAGATGCCGAAGACGGCCCACTATAGTAACCCGAATCCATAGCAGCTGACGGCATGGAGCTTGATGGCTTCGGAGGGGTTGTTAGGTAGGTCGGTTCCGGGGTGACTAAATCAATCGTATTCGAAGAGTTCGGAAAGAGTGTATGGGAATTTGAAGCCTCGATAGCTACGACATTGGTCCCAGCTCGGCGAGAGAGCAAAGACGGCTTGCCATTAATCTTGGAATTCAATGAAGGCCTCAGCCTGAAGCTAGTCTTGCGTTCACGGCGTTGTTTCGAGCCTGTGAGCTCCGTTCTCCACTTCTTACGGGCCTGGTCCTCGACCATGGTTGTATACGTTATTGGTGTACCGACGGACGCGGGACTTGACATTAAACTTCTGTCACACTAGACAGAACAGTGTTGGTGGGAGAAAGCGTTGAGGGAATCAGGCGCAGTAGAGTAAGGTGAGCGCGTTAGGAGGAGGAAAGACAAAGAAGCGAGCAGAGTTAGATATTGAAGAATGTGTTAATGGGAGGAAGAATGTTGTAGATTGTAAGTAGGTAAGTATGAGAGTAAGTGTGAGAGGGAGTAAGAGGGGGAGGGAAAGCGAGTAAGATGTATGTTGTGGGGGGAAAAGGGTGTTATGTGTGGTTGTGGTTGAAATGGAATGGTGGTGGGGCGGATTGGCGGGATGTTTCTTGTGGGGTGTGGTGGTGCTTTACGGTGCCTGAGTAGTGACTGTGGGTGGTTGATTATTGTACAGCCTAACAGAACGGCTTTTTTTTCACACGCTTCCTCCTTCAGGAAATATAATTTCAGAGTTCGATGACTGACTGACTCAATCTGTCAAGCTTCAAGCAAAAATCCTGTATTCCACAAGTAGAATATAAGTCACCAGAAGCTACCTAATGATAGTAGCAAATAATGGTAATAGCAACGGAAGTACGTCCCTCGCCGCTTCCAATTTGCAAAGAAATAAAGAGTAGAAACCTTCTGTGAGTGTCTAGCTAGGATTCGATGACTTGATGGTTCAGGAAACTCTCAGTTGACAATGAGCGTCGGGGGTTTACTCAGGCCCTCGTCGGGGGAAAAAAAGTTGGGAATAATCGGCTGCGGGGGGTGTAGGGGGGGGGGGGGGTATTGAACGATCTGCACGACACAGTTCAGTTTGGACGCTACAGCGAAATGCAGGGTGCTTATCACCTTCAAGGTAATGATGCGAGTACTCGTTCTCAGGAGTATTGGATAGGCGTGAAAGTATACGGACGAATTCGTGAAAGAAGTGTTGAGGGGACGTTGAGCTCAAGAGGACGTTGGGGGTATGAACTTAGAATGTGAATGAGTGAACATGACCATAGTGGGCCGACCAAGGGGATGGTAGACCTAGATCATCATATGAAGGAATCATTGAATTGTATATACGCAAATGACGTCTTCAGCATAGTAAATTTGTTCACCTTTCTTAGATAGCTGACTTTCCCTCTTCCTCTCTCTCTCTCTCTCTCGTCACCACTCTCTAGTCTCTAGGAGTGCCTTAATCTCGTACCACACGTTTTTTTGTGCTCTTTGCCCTCTGGCTCTACCAAGAACAAAATGCAGGTGTGAAAAAAAATGATAATCAGGGTCGTTGCAGGCATTCTTGCAAGGCCAAAGACGCTATGTACGCTACATCATTACCCTACTACTAACCAGATCCCCAGCTCGTAAGCAGGGTAGGAAAGTACCCCCCCGTAATTGAATAATATGTTGACTATTCACATTGTACATTATTAACTCGGGAGGAAATTTAAAGTAGAATTTTCTCTCTACGTGATATCTAGGTTTACCCCAGCACTTGGGACCTTTTTCCTTTTGGGAATTAATAATGTACTTGAGAGCGGAGTATGTACTATAATAGTTGGCGAACGAATTCCGTCGAAAGATGGACAGCATGTATGACCTCTTCCACTGCGTTCGAGCTGCAAAGTAACGCTCTACCCATTTGTCAGGCGCACTTTACACTATTATGCTGTTTTAACTGCTCAGATCAGCTAACCCCAGCACGTGAGCTATAATCCAGAGAGGAGCTAGTGGAGATCTGCTCCTGTTCAAGCTCCTACTCCACCACCACGGCCTCCTCGTTCTCCGTACACTCCTTTCTCCTGCGCGCTGTTGACAAGAAAAGAATAGAAACCAGAAACTCGAGATACAATAATAATTTTTTTTTCCATGCGGTATTCGTGCCAGTTTCAGATGTCCTTTTTTGTTGTAAGGCAAGCTGAGAGCTACTAGTCTTGTGCTACGAACGTTTACACGCAGCCCTGGTGATGAATGCGCCTCACTCCATCCCTCACTCCAACCAGCTCCACAATCCTTTCCAAGCCCTCACCCAAATGTTCCGGCCAGGGAGAGTGAGAGAGAGAAAGGGAAGGCTGCCACGTATGAGCCAGCCAACGGGGATGGAGGGAGTATTCTTTTCTATGTTATGTAGGTACAGGAATTGAGACGGACGGAGCAGGAAAAGAAAGGGATTCTTAAGGAAGAAGAAAAAAGTTCACACAAAACGTTTGTTGGCGAACGCGGGGAAATGGAAAAACGGAGGGGTTGAGCTGTCCTTGCGCGCCAAGGGCATCTCACGATTGAGTTCCCGCCAGGAAAAAAGGGTATGTAGAGAGAGAGATAGAGAGAGGGTACATGGTGGTACTATGTAAGGTTGAACGTCATGATAATCACTTGCCTGTCGACGACGACGTCTGCTGCACGCGTCTGCACGGTCCGAGTGCAAATTTGTGTATCAACCGTTCCATTTTGGGGAACTAGCTTGCAACGTCGAATCCACGGTTGATATTCTGAAAAGCGCCGTACCACTTCCCATTGATTTCCGGCACATAACATTGAAGTATCTGCTTCAGAACTACATGTACGCTACTATCTATCGGTGTCGTCAACCGGGTTCGCAAAAAGCGCCTTGGATCCCACAGCGAGCTAGGCATGTACTTGACTCTAGAGAAGAGTTACAGCACGGTACTATATGTACGCAGTATGTACCGCTAGCTAGCTACAGTACTTACTCGTATTTCTCTGACATTTGTGGACGCGACTGATATTGCATGCCATACAAAAATACGCCAAGCTCATGATTTCGGGTGTATGCAATAATGGCCCAGTTCAAAAACGTCAGAGAAATACTAGTACATGTAGGTATGTAGTCAAGCAGGATGGCGAACTCGCTTCGGTGTTAAGACTGTCAACCGAGTAAAAAAAAAAAACGTGGGAACCCGTGCGCTCCAGCATTGCGTTCGCGCCACAAGAGGTCCACAAATACATACGGAGCTGTAGGGAAGATGCTTCAGATACAAAGCCCGCCCAGTTTTTTCCCCCCCTTTTATCTTCCCTTGGACACAGCTTATTTAAGGTTTCCGAATATTCCTGAAATCTCATATCCATAGGGCCCTCTGGAGTTCGGTGGGCCTCAATAGCTAGCTGTAAGGAAGTTGTGAGGTGGTGGTTGCTGTTGTTGACATCAGCCACAGGGTTATCATCCTCTCACTTCACCTGCTGGTAGGCGCGGGCGCCGGTAACTTTGTTGCCCAAAAAAGCATCCTTCACGTTGCGGGTAAGCTTTCCATAACGAAAGCGGTAAGTACCCGTCAATCCTTTCAGGTTTCTTGGCATCACACCGATTTACAGTTACAGTTTCGTAGAAGCAAGAGGGCAAAGGCCTGGCTGGATATGATGGCTTGATCAATCCTCCTGCTCCTCACAAGGTTGCTTTAGTTTCGAAATGTGTGGCGCTTGGACATTTTGAGACACTTGCGTCCTGCTGGGTCATATGAGAAGAAGAAGAAGAGGAAGAAGAAGGCTTCCAGCCAGCCACGGCCAGCCAGCCATGGCTGTAGGTACATACACCTATGTGGTACCTACATTACCGGCGTGATTCACACACCTACTTATAACTTTCTCGCTACCAGGACCACACGATGTACCTGCATGTGAAAAGAAGAATAGTGCGCGCGAGAGAGCGATGATTGAAAAATAAAACAAAATAAATGCAATAACTTTTACATCCTGCGTCCCCCCTCCCATCATGGCCCATATCGATTGTGATAGTTCTAAACGATTTGAGAGAAACCTCATCGCACCCTCCGGTAATTCTTCCGCGTGGAGGGGTGGGTGGGGGGGAGAGGAGAGGAGGGGGGGGGGGGGGGAGAGGGAACTCTTTTTGTGAGCACTTAATGCGACACTGCAGTGCAGCCAGCAGCAGCAAGCAGCAGGACACACAAACAATAGGTAGCTTGTTTGCCAGGTATCTGATATGTACCTACTATCTATGCTATGATAAATCTGCACGCTGGAAGAGGCTGTTATGGGTAAATAGCTGTACCTACTCTGCTCTCTTCTTGCTCCGAGGAAGGAACTAACGGATGCTCGAAGATTGTCCGACGGTTTTTCGTTACCGTGGAAGAAATACCCCATTGGTGAACCGGCCCCAGAAAATCGCCAAAGTCGGCATTTCCATTGGCCGCTAATGATCATCGATATCGATCTGAGCTTTCGAGAAAGGATATGGACAGGAAACAAAAGCGGGGTCATCAAAGAAATAAAGAAGGGAAAAGCCACTCTTGCGGCACCCCGATGTTTTCCAAATCGATAGGCAGAGCTCGGCTCAAGCTCGGGATCATGAGGTGACGTTCAATCGCACGCACGCACTGTGTGCTACCAAAACCGGTAAATCTTATCAGATCGATCAGACAGCATACAAAACAGGGCCCGTGGTTGGCTGGTTGCACGCTAGCGCCGGTCCCTCGCAAACCCCCACCACCTCCACCAAGCGAAACTACGTATTTGTCTGCTCGTTGCAAGATTTCCGTTTCGAACCTCCCACCCATCTCTCCTCAAAAATCATACAAACCAGCACAATGGCAACCTCCCTCCGCCTCTTGCGGGCGCCCGCTGCTAACCTCCGTGTCGCTGCTCCCCGTCTCAGCGGCGCAAGGGCCTTCGCTACGTCGCAAATTCTCCGCCAGGCAACCGTCGCGGTGCCGACAAAGAGGCCAGTCGGTGCATTCAGAGGAGGGTACGTACTATACACTATCTTGAGACATCTTCCGCGGCGCCCTCTCGTCGTTGGATCGGGTAGGGTGCTGGGAATTGGTCGAGGGAGGGAACGAGCGTTGGATGAACAGTCGCTGACATATCCGGGAAATTCTTGATAGGCTCCTTGGTTTCCTCCTTGGATCGTCTGTCTCCGGAGTTGCGGCTTACTTTTACCTCCTCGAGGAATACAAGGTCTCCAATGAGCTCTTGACGGAAGATATCGATGTACGTTTTCTACCTTTCTCGATCCTTTCCCACTCGCTTTCTATTCTTCAATCAATTCCACCACCACTACCCTCTATATATATAGTTCCCTACATGTGAATTGTGCCGTTTACTGAGATAATCGCTACAGGCCCTGAGATCATCAATTCAACGGATCGAAGTCTACGTCCGCAGCCTAGAGGAGAAGATCGAGGTCCAGGAGGCGAAGTCAAAGAAGAAATAAATGTTCAAAACTAATCCACCGCCCGTTTGTCCGTCCATATTCCAATATCACACATGTCCAAAGAAAGGGAAAAAAAAAAGAGAGAGAAAGAGTGATGAAGAAAAGAACATAAGGGACTTCAATGCAATGTTAATTTTTTTGAGGATTGCATTTTTCTTCTTTACTAGGACTGCGAGAGAGATATCTAGGGTTTTTAGTTGTTTGTTGTTTCGTCTAGATTTCCCCCAAGTCTGTCATTCCTTTACTTGCCCTTCGTAGCGGGTAGGGAAAGCGTTGTATCAAAGCTCGTGGCGTGTAAGTAACATATCTCTGGAAAATCTCATATTTCTTTTTCTGCGATTGGACGATGGGTGGAGACATTTCTGGAAACTGCATCAAGTATTGGTGTTTGATTCTCCCGGGCCGCCATCACCGTGTCTACTGGTCCGATCCAGAAGGGTGTATTGCCGTGGTGTCGGAATTTCATATGTGGATGTGAATTTCTCTTCCAACTTTCTTCACCGCCAATAAAACTCTTCTGTCAGATTTCGCCGGCATATTGCCAGGTGTAACTACATGTATGTGATAGTCAGGGTCAGGGTTCTATCATAAATTCTCACTCGCTCCAAGGTTCGATGCACTCCTTTGTCACATTTTGCCTTTGATCATCTATATCCTTCTGTAATTCGACTCAGAGTTTGGGATGATTGACGGATCGATGATCAGAATGATGAGGAAAATTATCCAAGGCTTGAGATAGACTTGACTAGAATTTGGTAAACGCCCGCCATCCTCAGATTGAATAGTATAGCACTACAAGTATAAAGTAGCACTTAGAGATAGATGATAACCACCGCATCTTTCTGGACGATTTCATCGAAAGAAACAGAGCCACATTGACTTTCGATACTCTGGCCGATACCGGCAACCTTCTATTTACATAAACCCTCTGACAAGTCCTGTGGCTGCAAGAAAGGCTATTGCACACGGGAACAGAAACGATCTGCCCCATTTAGCTAAGAATCCAGGCATGAGACCAAGTATTCCCTATATTCTATCTATTATACATGAAGCTTAATACAGAAAGGGGGGGTAAGATAGTAGGATGAAGAGAAAAAAAACTTACCCTCATAAGAATTTAGTCTGCTGAAAATCTCACTCGTTTCAACCCATCCCTATCGATTGCCGTCTTAAATCGAATACCCCCCTTCTTAGTTGGTTTACTCTTCGCCTTTGCAGCCCGTCCCTTAAACTTCTGTCTGCTTCGATCATCCTCCGGCCACTCAGTCCCGGTCTTTTTGAAGATATTCTCCAGAGCGTCAAGCTCGACATCTTTCTGGACGGTCTCTAATCTGTTGCGCAGGACTTTCATTGCTTCGCGGAGTTTAAAGATCTTGTAGGTTCCGTTTGTGACATCGTTTGTGGGGTCGGTGGGGTCGGCGATACAGAGGAGGGAGTTACGCGGTTTGCCGCAGTGGCCCTTCGTGCCCTATGGATGTGGTTGGTTAGTAGTTGCACTCAGCATGGGAGTTCTCGACGGGGACAAGGGTCCACCTTTTTGTAGATGGCACCTTCTGCGGGCTCTAGCATGGTAGTGGCCAACTTCCACTGAGAAGACCAGAAGGTGAGGTAGTCAATCAGCAGGCGTTGGTAGTCTCTCTCTTCTATCCATCTCTGGTAATCCTCAACTGTGCAATTGCGTGCCTTGACCGTTTTTCGGACCTTTGAGGGAGAGTCAGTTCTCGACATACAGCTAGAGGGCCGACCAAATTGGGAAAAAGCATCATCTCACATTGAAATAACCAATGATAGTCAACGCAAGACCGTACGACGAGAGACCGCCGGTGTAAACTTTGTTGTAACGCCTTGATTTGAGCCTAAACCGCGCAAATTCTGTTAGAAAGCTTATTTCAGTTCTGAGGGATAATTGAAGTAGAAGGAAACACCCTTACCAGTACTTGAGCAATATTATCATTGTCCTCATGTAAGCACGCTCGTCCAATTCTCTCCTGACATAGTGTGTGTTGGCGAGTCCATTGGTCGTGAATGATATGTCTACGCCGATAAGGTACTTCGAGTCTATATAGGTTACAATGGGTACACGGGCATTCGCGTGAACCGCCGTAGTCGTTGGTTTGGTGATCCTATTTTTGATAAGTTCATCCTCCATTTGTTGTGCCCAGAGACCGGCGCGGGTCCGGGAGTATAAATTTTGTGTATCGACCACAAGGTCGATATCACTATAGAAACACAGAAGGTCAATTACATTCCTCAAAAGTACCCAATCCCAGTGAGAGGGTGGAGGGATTGCGAGGGAGAGGATGAAGGGAAATGTACCTCCCATGTAAACTTGTGCCATTCGCAAAGCTTCCCACCGGCGAAACTTTTGCCTGAGGCCATATCGAGCGAGCGATTGCGACGCTCCTATCTAGAGTTAAATTTCTCTTCAGTGCTCCTTCCGCACTGATAGCAAGACGTGCCGCCAGAGCAGCGAATGGGCTCGCCATGGTGCATTATTCTCAATAAAAGAGTCGTTAGAGGAGAGGGCCACCAAGATTATTAGATGCCTACCGGGGCCAGTTTTTTTTTTTTTTTTTTCTCGCTTTCCCTCGCACAGTTTTGGTTACCACAATCACCCCCACCCTGGTCGTTTACCGGGATGTTCCTTATCGGTTCCCGAAGCGGATATTTATTGATTGGGTATTCTTGGCGTTCCCATGATCACACCTCACGTCTTCCTCCCCGCTACGCATATACAGCAGTCCATCAAATCTATCAGTAGAGCTGCCGACGCTACAGTACCTTAGACAGCTACTACAGTTACAGATATGCCTCCTCAACCATCCGCCTATTCATCAAGAGGCGTCCGTCCGTCGCTTGCCCCTTCGAACGCAAAGGCACGTCAGCTCGCCCATCTTAATTCACAGCTGGCGCAGCTACAGGCACATCTCGCTGATCTCCAGGATATCATGCGAGTAACAGCTGTGCAAGCTGAAAATATTAAAGCCCTAGGAGGGCTCAACGGTGCACTGTTGATCTCCCCTCGCCCTTCCTTTGCTCCTTCTAACATGCATACAATGTAAAATAAATGGATTTCGTTTCGCTGACCTGTGTGACCATGAAATGGTCCAGATTGATGGCCGCCGGGAAAGTGCTTGGAGATGAAGGCAACGGAGAATAGTCGTTTCTCGCGGAAGGAGAATATTTTAGGAGTATTATAGACTAAGAGCCAATGCTCTGCATATTTAATGACTGGAGCCTCTTCAAAGAATCATGGAATTTGTTTTTTGCTCGCAACTTCCTGGTACTTCGTCAATGTATTGCATGGTCCACTCTTTGCCTGAGAGTAGAGAGAAATTGTTAAAAATGGTTAGAAGCTAATCATCTCAATTCTGACAGTTTGGATTACAGAGAAACAAAGTGTGCAATCCCACTCCTCCGATCCCACTCCTCCGATCCCACAACAATAAAAAGGGTACAAAGTAGATAAGAAATACAGTCCTTAAAAGAGAGTAAATATCTGGTGCATGGGACTGGTCCCTACAAGGGCTATACAGACATAAATGAAGATCGAAATGGACGGAACCTGAAACCCAATAACCCTTTAACAGAAGGTAAAAGAAACCCAAAAGTTTTGGCATAGCCAGACCCAGTGAAAAAATAGTGCAGGGCGAGACACAACGACGGTAAAGTAATAGGAAAGAGCACTCGTTAAAATCATATCATCCTTCCCCATCCAGAAAAGTCAACGAAAACGAATATTGTATCTCTTGTCCAGAAAGTGATTATAACCAAACCCAGGAACGAAACAAAGTAACAGAAAGGATACCTCCTTCCAATAGGCCCAGAAAGACACCTCCTTTCTATCCGTGATGAAACAGGAAAAAAGAAAAATAACCAAAATGTGAAATATATCAAATGAACCTAAGAGCCAAATAATCAAACAAAAGAAAGAAAAGACCCGTGCTGAAGTGAACCATAAAAGAGACAGACATGCACGAGCATAGAAAAGCAACCACATGAAGAAAATCCCCAATAAATGTACACGACGATCCATCTCTGATCGCGAAAAGCACCTCATCGTAATAAACCAACACTCCAAATTACCCACAAAACCCTGCTAACCATTTTTCCAAGAGATTACTTGGATAATTTGGCTTTGCAGTGATCTCTAAGCCCTCAAAACGAGTTTACAACCAGAAAAAACCCCCACAGAAAATGAGAACACCATAAAACCGAAGAAAATCAGACAAAGCATTAAAGAGACATTGTAAGCCATTCCCATTCCTGGGTGCCAGCTGTGGGATTGACCGCCGGCGCAATAGGTGTGTGATGCGTTGTGTTATGTATAATTGACGACGTTGATTGCTGGAGAATCGGTGCCAAAGGCTTATCCTTCTTTTTGCCGATATCTCTTGTTGAATCATCCATAGCATCACCATCTTCACTCTCCTGAGGATGGCCCTGGCTTTTTGAGAGCCGTCGAGGACGCTTCGGCACTGCAACAGCAATTGGCCGAGCTGAATTGCCACTAAGGGAGCTCTTTGGTGGTGCGGCAGCAATTGGAATGACACTTATTTTGTTACCCTGTCCAGAAGCACTCATCATAGACAAATTATTCGTAGGAGTGCTGACATTAGACCCCCCACCTGTAGAGGGTGGAGATTCCGACCCTGCGAGACTTTTGGACTGTGCCGAAACTGGCGTAGTAACTGGGGTTTGTACCAAAGAATTCTTCCGACCACCCTTCTTGGATGCGCGAGTTGCCGCATTTCCGACAGGCATCGAGTTTCCACTTCCACGGTTACGCTTTTTGATGACATCCGTTTTCAATGAAAGAGGGCGAACCACACCATGTAGTTTCAAAAATAGACCACACGCATTACATAGAGGATGACCCTCGGGATTTCTCCTCCACAAAGGCGTGGTTTGTGTAAAGCAATTAGTGCAAGTCGTCGGAAGTCCGTTGGAACCACCAGCTCCAGCCCCTCCATTCTTCTGACCATCTGGTGAAGCTGGCCGGGAAGGTTCAGTGGAACTGAAACCAGACTCTGGCGGTGTGCTTGGATTAGATTGGACGCGCTGGTTCATTATTGAAATGGCCAACTGGGGAGCATTCGGCGTAGAACTTGTTCGAGCGATTTTCTGCCTTCGCGCACCGTTTGGATCCTGTACCCTGTTACGCATATCACTTACCGATGCACTAACGGAATGTGATCGGCTATGATGCCCCCCACTCATACTCCATTCTTGCGGAGAGGGCGCAGTCTCGGTGCCACCAATCCTCACTGTCTTTTGCTGTTGTCCTGGGTACCGCCCATTTCCAAATGAGTTTTGCCCACCCGCACCATTTCTCTGACCCCACTCTCCGAAATGAGTTTGCAGGGCTGATTGCACGTCCATTTGATCTTCGATTTGATTCAAATCGCTTTGAATATTCATTCGGTCCATTTCCTCGTCCTCAAGGTCAGAATCAGCACCAAAAGAAAACATCCCGTCATTCCTAGCCCCGCTAGAACCTGGTGACTTAGCAAGGCTAAAATCTCCGCGCAAAACCTGTGAGGGGTTGACGTGTTGAAACTGTTGATATCCAGGCGATGGAAATCCTGAATGGGTAGCAGATGGGTTTGCACTCAAAAGAGGGTCGGTGTTGCTGAAGTAGTACTCGTTGGATGTGAGGCTATTTGGTAATGTACTGTTCCTTGAATGTCCAAAGCTGGGGATTGTGCGCCCTTGTTGCCTGTCAATGTTGATCTGATCGAAGAAATTTCCTGCGTGATTTTCGGAGAGAGGATGAGGCGTCGAAACAACAGAGTGGTTGGCGGAGGCGGGGGGGGAATAGAAATCATTTGAGGTCACGGAAGACGCCATGGGTGTATGGGAACTATACATGTTCGAGAACGGACCATTTGTCACAACAGGGCTGTGAACAGGAGAAAAGAAGCTATTTTGATAGGGCCCAGCAGAAGTAAGGTACTCCGACGTCTCCACAGAGGTGTCAAGAAATGACATAGTAGATGGATGTGAGTTTGGGATTGAGAATCCTTGGTGATCCTGATCCAGATGATAATCGCTTAAATCGTGGTCCGGATCTGGATCGTTGGGAATCATGATACTGGCAACTGGAGGAACGTGTGGGGAGAAGTCCGCGCGTCGCTTGGGAGGCTAGATAACACAATTATTAGAAGTCATACCTACACTTGCCATAGAAAGAACTCACTCGACGCTCATCGACACTTGTTTTCCGAATCCTCCTCTGAACATAATCAAACTCATCGTGATTATTCTCGAGATGCTGGGGTGCAGAGGCTGGTGGAAGATGAGAACTAATCATGAGTTCTTTTTCTCGAGATGATTTCTTTATGGGGATTGCCGAGGCAATAGCATGAGATGAGGTATTGGGATTTAGGTTCTCGCTGCTTGGTGAATGTGCAACCCCGCAACTCGAAAATCCGCTTGGGGAGCCAACCATTGATGATGGTGATGTAAAGGTAAGGTCATCCATAAACATACAATCGGGCTCTGACGGGTTCGCACTGACGCTCGCCGAAGACGTTTTACTTTCAGCTGCTGAGCGGGCTGCAGCAGAAATCCCTCCTATTCGGTTTTGGTGTTGCTGAGATTGTCTTGCGGCCATTCTAGATTCGACCATCAGAATCGGAGATCTTTATAAAATAAAAGAAGCCTGTAGATTTTAACTGGGGGGCACTCACCGAGCTTGTTGCTGCTCTTTACGTAGTGTCATTGACATCATTCTCCAGGTAAGATTTTCCATACGCTCCGCGTTAGGGAGAACGTTCTTTTGTTTACTATACAATCTCCATACTTGAGTAGCGAGCGGGTCCTTTTTTTGCATATCCTCTGGTGTTTCTTCGTGTCGGCCGTTCGTGGCGCCACTGATATCCCCAAACGATCCGCCCAGAAGCTCCTTCCGGGCGAAAGACTGCGCCTGTGCGAACTCCAGATTGGCGTTTTTGTCTCCAGATTGATCTCTAGAGTATGAGGGTGAGAGAGTAAAGGAAGTAAGTTTTTGTGGAGAAGTAGGTTTGGTTTGGTGTAGATGGGAGTGCGGAGAAGTTGCACCTGAGCCAAATGGAGCTGCCGAAAACATGTTGTGTGAATTCTCACCAGCGGCGACGGCACCCAAGCCGACACCCCCACGCCCATTGAAAGCCATCGAGACTTCGGTCTATGAATGTAAGAGATGGGACCACCCCAGAAAAAGGGTTGCTTTTTTGGAAGAGGTTTTTGCTTTTTTTGCTTCTAAAGTTGGAGGGGTAGTGTAGAGGTGGAGGGCGAGGGTGATCGATGGTAGAAGTAACAAGGTGTGATGCAGGCGGTGGCACGAACTTGAAAACCCGACACTGACCGCTGCTGAGTTTCGCGGGATGGCCGCAGAGTTGAATGTGGTGGGGGAGAGAAGAGTGGTAGTGACGAATGGAGAAGCAATGTCCTGACGGTACCCTGTCTTAGGCTTCTTCCCTGTCGACGCCGAGATCTGTTTGGAGTACACTCAGAACAGGAGAGAGCACAATAAATAAAAGTAATGTGAGTGATCTTGCGCACTCTCCGGCCGTCAGTCGCAAGATGCGCTGCGACTGTGCGCAACCGAAGCAATCAGAGTTGAACCCGGCAGCCGAATGAACAAGGTGAACGTCAGTCAAATATCAAACCCCGCCGGTGGCTTCGCACGGCCGCTGTACGTTCGTCTCCGTCGGCGATGGTTTATTTTGGATTTTGTTTCCTCTCTTAGGTATTACACAAGCCTGCGGCCTCGATGTCAATACTCTCCGCACCCACAGAGAATGAAAATATGGGGGGAAAAAAATATAATTCGAGGATAGGCTGGTGTGCATACCTGGTTCTTAATATTGTTTCTCGGTCGCTTGCGACTGTCTGTTCACTTTTCGCGAGATAAGCGACCGTAAATAGATGACAAATTTGCAGGGGGGTTGCTGAGCGCGGGGTCACATACTGTCTCTGTCTCGATCGAGTCTGACGAGCGACTACGAAAGAAATATAAAAGAGGTAAGTAAGGGTGTGTATGTTATATATATAGGGCGTGCCAGGCGAGTATAAAACACAATTCCACATAAAAATGCAAGAAATGAAAAGGAAAAAGGACCGGTTCTATATGAGAGTAGAATCTGGGGGGAAGGACAGCGGGGATAGATGGAGAGGAGGGGGGGGGGGGGGTATGAAATTATGGATTACAAGGGAGGAGGGGAGCAACAGCTAAGAGGAGGAGAAAGCAGCCAAAGGAGCAAAGAGAGGCGCGTATATGTGGTGGATATGTAGAACTGATGTCAAGCAGCTGCTGTTGACTGCGGTTGGTACATATGATGGACGAACCCACCCAGACCCCCGAATAGTGCTTTCTGAATATGCAGGGTACATGGGAGGGCTATCCAGACAGTCGGAAAGAGTAGGGAAACGATATTCTTCATTGTGACGGAGGGAGGGAAGAATGAACTTACGGATGGACCTGGTCCTTTTCTCTCTGTTCACTTGTGGATCTGTGAGATGTCTGGCTGGAGGTAGAGAATCAGGTTGGCTGCTGGTCAAAGAAGAAGACGAGGACGACCCCCGCTTGTCTTACCTACTTTCCGTAAATGTACCGTCTGTTGTCGAAAACAGTGAGATTCGAGAGAGTCCCCACGCAATTTATTTGACCTCTTTTTTTTTTTCCTTTGTATATTCCCTGATCAAATAAGACTAGGTTCTTCTCAGCTTTTTCCGAATATTTTGATGAAACGGGACGGTTAGATATGGATGATATGATTGAATCTGAGTGAGAGAATAGGCAATCCAAAGCGCGTTACTGTGGCTTCTTCCCCTCGGGTGATGAAGGAACGAGAGGACTGCGCAGCTGTCGAGATAGACAGCCACTGGATAGATAGAGTAATATCAAATCGTCAAAGGTTATAAACGCCCATGTCAAAAGAGGGCCAGAATTCAAATAAGCTGGAACCGGAACTCAATTAACTGTGTTGTAGGGCTCTGATCTGTTTAGAAACAAGAAAAGGAAAAAAGATGAGCTCTAGCTGGTGATGGAGAGAGAAAAGGCCAGCTACCAGATAGTGGGTTCTCCCCTCCCCCAGGAATAGTTCTCACTCACACAGTTCACTACTCCTCTTTTTTTGGACTGAGGGGGGTCATAAAATCAAAATAAAGCAAAAGAAAAAAATTGTGGACCAAGGAGAGCACAAAAAGCACTTTTTTTTTTTTTTTTTTTTTTTTTTTTCGCTATGGATGGATTGCTACATCTGAAAAGCAACACACCTAACCGACACGACAGTTAATCGGCTAGCCACACCATCACCACCCTCTTCTGCAGGCTGAATCTGCACTGAATAGTACGAGTGAGTGAGTATGGATGCGAACTCTATGGCACGCTCTTACTATTTACCTATGCGATAGAGGTTCGATATTTCAACCAGCTCTAGGAGTTTCCCCTCTTTTCGCTCATCATCAAAGATAAAACGCCAGCTACAATCTACACTCCTCCCTTGTCCGCACGTTCCAGGCTGACCCCTCCCCCCCCCCCCCCAATGGAACATTTCGTGCAGCTCTTATTCCTCAAGCGTCCGTAATTAAGACCTCGCCCGGCGTTTCGACAGTTGAGCACCGAACAATCCATTGCCAACGGGGTTAGTTTGACCAACTGAAAAAAATGTCGCTAACAGCGGCACCGAATAATGGCATGGTAGATCCGGGCACCTTGCTGCGGAGCCGCGAGACTTTAAGGCTTCTGTTTTCAGAATTGAAATTATTTTGAGATGTTCTGGTGAGCATTCATAAGGCATGACATCGGCGCCTTCCGTTGTGTTCTTTTCCCTTTGGGATCCCTTTTTCTCTCCTGCCAACACCACGTCGTTGTGTAGCTCTGCAGCCTCCACCCCGGAAGCCCCCCACGCGATCGGTAAAGGAAGCTCAACGATTCGCCACATTTCCAACGGAACTGAGGTCTACTTTAACCGTCCCTTGTTGAAAATCCACCGCTCGCGTGCTTTTCTTGGATTTCGTGGGGGCATTACAACCACCCCACTCCGCGTCGTTGTCCGGTCCCTAGGCGAAAGTGGAGGCGTTTCGACGTCCGAGTCTGTCATCCAGCTGCGAGGGACCACAAAATGAAATCACAAAGAAATTCGATCAAGAAGAGCAGTGATGATGAGTACATCGTGTGTCCCTGGAAATCATATTGGAGGGGGAAATAGTGGGAAGAAATGGGGAAATGAACCCTGGCAACAACAACCTAGGGGCCGTGAAAACGTTTCGATAGGTTTTCACTTTCACTTGTTGCTGACTCGCTGTTGATACCCAAAGTGATCGCTTTCAAAAAACTGTCCTCGAGGAATATTGAGACTTCACGTGAGTGAAAGGCTTAGGGACGTCATTGGGATTCCGAGTTCCTCCGAAGGAAGAAACCCGCCGTGTGAAAATAGCACTAACCCGTTAACAATTCAGCGTATATACTCCTCAGTCGGGATTATCGACAGTCAGCCCAAGATCTTCATAAAATGTTCGGAGCGGCCGGATTCCACCAGGGTTGCGGCGATGTTTTCCGAAGTTCCCTAAGCTTCATATCCGATGATTCGGGAGGATGTTGGGTGAGAAATACCCCGCGGTCAGTAACGCGACGTTCAAACGCTTGGTCGACGGTAAGAAACTTTGTCAGTGATGCGGGGAACTTCGGGTAATTGCTCCGGCCTCAAGTCCGGGGATAGTTTTTTGTAAAAGTACCATGTAATCAACTTTGATTTGATGGTGGTAAACGTTTGATAGAGGCTTGCTGAGAAACTAAGAAACTGTAAGCTCGGGACCGAATCCCAAAACAAATAATTCCCAGATGCCCTTCGAAGAGATGCATTGTTCACAACGACTCATTGGTGATGCATCGTGAGGGCCTGGTAGGTACAGGACGGATCGCTGCAGGCACCGAAATAAGCATATAAAAGGCCGCTCGATGTGGGTTGCGATGGGGCACCGTCTGCAGTGACTGACTGCGCAGGAAGAGAAGAATACTTCACTGCAACGTAACTGAGATCGAAAGTCCACAAATAAAAGAAAGGGAGAGAAATACTTAAGAGAAAAGGAGTCGCCCACCTTTAATAAATACACGAGAGATAACCAGAAATACCCGGGTATCTCTCTATCTGGTTTGTATTATCGATACCGAAACGGCGCCTTCCTGGTAATGATTCGCGTTGTTTTTTGAACCTGGATGAACCATGGTGTAAGACAAAGTTTAAGTCCTGATAGGAAAGATATATAAAATCTGGATGGATGAAAGCGCAGATAATGGTAGCTAAGAATGTAGTAAGAGAAAGAAGAGATGGAAGAAAGAGCAGAGAATGGGGAAATAAACCTGAGCACGAGCACGGGAAAACCGGGAACAGCTTCATTTTTTGTATCGCTGACGGACAGTACCGAGCACAACAAAAAATGACTCGAGGAAAGGTTTTCCTATCGTATATGTGTGTATGCAGAGATATGCGTTGTTGTATCGGTGTCAGTATCTTCGACAGAGCTGAGAATCGTAGGCCGTTTCTTCCTATCGGTGCCAGTGCTACGAATCATATCCCAGGAAGCTCATTTCTATTTCTGCTTTTGGAGAACCTGGGGAGATACTGTAGCCCTGGAAGATAAGGAGGCTGGTGGATAGATACATTCTTTGATGACAGACCCTTGCCAATTGTCTATTGAAATAGAGCATGTAACTATTAGCAGGAGGCCACTGCCCCAAAACATATCTGCAGTAGAGGGAATATCCGTCCGTGAAACAAGATAGCAACGACATGGTTTCAATTTTTCTGGCAATCGAGTGTGGACATTATTCCCCCTGTAATTACAATGATATAGGAAGTATCTATACATGCACTTATCATAGTTTTCATTCGCTAATATCATGGCTTGGTAAATTATTCTACTACGTTTGAATTATTTTTGTACACAACGCACCACAAAAAGAAAGAGACCCCCTGGCTTCAAAAAAGAGCAAAACGCCGAGATTTTAAAGTACAGTAATTTTTTGAAGAGGTATCGAGCTTTTACTCCTAGACTGCCATTTCTAGGGATAACCTCATCCTAACTGGTTTTCCCATGACCAGTGTATCATAAGGCCTTTAACTTCAACCAGAATATATTTGACAACCCTAAAAGGAAAGTAAAGCAAAACAAAAAGAGAAAAACGCCGTGTCTAGCCTGCTTATCATACAGAGGAGATAGGAAGGCGAAAATCCAAACACCTGTAAATGCCTCTCTCCCCACGCTCTGCCACGAATAGTCTTCTTTTTTTTTTCTCTCCCACATCACCTTAACAGGTTTAGAAGATAGGAAAAGTAGGAAATAGAAAAACCATGAACTAATCGCCTTGCCTGAACCGAAACCTTGTACCGATACGAAAGAAATGATGATGATAATGACGATGATGGTGACGATGATGATGATAATGATGATGAAATGACCCAATAAATAAGGAAAACAGACCCTGTTACCATACGTATTCTTATTTTTCGAAGGAAATAAAATGAGGAGCGGTATTGAATATATATCGTCCATCCAGAGGAACATTGTTGCCGGAACTCGAAAGAAGAAAAAAAGGCCTGGGTATTTTGTTGCAGCCTCTGAAATCGTACATAAGACATTCGACCGCAAAAGAAATCCTTCAAGCGTCAAGGGCATGCCAATTTTTGATGGGCGTATTCATTATCTCTGCGACATCGAGACAGGCGCCGTACCCTGAAGTGGGGAGGGATAGTACGGAGACCCCCATCTACACCGATATATGACTCCTCATCCGCGAATGACGCTTGATCAAATGTATCTGAATCCAACCGCATGCCATCCATATCACACCCATTACCAACTGCCCCATGCTCTGGCCATTGAGTCGAATAAAATTGATGATCTCCATAGTGCGAAGATTCAGAAATCGACGCGGTAAGAGAGGCTGTAGATGCACTAGCTGAATACATTTCAGGTGGTATGCCCAGATCGACATCTGACGAATAAGCGGATTGATAACTGAATGGTAGATTCATGCCCTGGTCAATTGAGCCCATCCGGGAGGGGGCCTGAGAAGTCCAAATGCCTTCCTCAAAATTTTCTATCGAATCAGTAGGGAGCGGTGTGTTACTGATATTTTGCTGAGAAAAATTATTTCCAGTCATTGGGCCTGAAGTTGCCCTCCAAATTACTGAGGACAAAGAAGGGTCCTCTAGCGGAGCTCGAGAAGAAAAGTCGGCAGAGGATTCGGGTTGAGAAGGTAATTCCCATCGTGGCACCAAATCCGAATATCCTGGCTCTACCTTTACAGTTGCCGGTGTGTGCATTTGAGCCATGCTGGGTCTGCGGGAAACTGAAGCTGATTGAGAAAGCCCCATAATCCGTCCTGGTCTAGAAATTCCGTTTTGTAAAAATTGGTGTTCAAAAGCAGCGGGTCCAAACTCGTATTCCGCTCCCCAGGTTGGAGTGACAGGAACGGAGACTGGATAACCGTTGGCATTTTCAGATAATTGGCCTGGTCCAAACCCAGGGGAAGGGGATGATCCGGATGAGCCTGAATCTTGACTATTAATGTCCGGCTTTGACATTGATCGCGGTCGTCGATCTGTGTTCTCCACTGGATAAAAGTTACACTCTTTCTTCAAACGAATGCAGTTGGAGCAGCGTCCATGCATGTCTTCCTTTGCCAGTAAACAGCGAATTTTCCGACGCCTACAGTGACCTGAACCACCCAGATGCACAATCGTTAGCAATTGAGTTGTTGAGTAGCAGTATTTGGATGGCCGGCGAGGCAGAGCTTTTTTTTTTTTTTTTTTTTTTTTTTTCTTTGCAGAACATACCACATGCAACGGAGGTTCGATGGTAACCGAGTTTATTTCGACCTTTGCCTGTCGAATAGGGCAAGCCAGAAGTAGAAGAAGGGCCCTCAGCGGCCATGGCAGCAGCCTGCTGCACGTTAGGGGTGGAAAGCGAGCGTTTTACTGAAGCAGTCATTGTCGTAAGAGAGCGTGTTTTGGACAGACGACGGCGCCAGGCAGCAGATCCAGTAAACCCAGGATTGGGAGGTTGGGGAGTTGAAGTACTTAAAGATGGATGTGGGATATGCGGGATGCTCTCAGTAGCCTGCTGGGATGAGCAATGGTGTGGAGACAAAGGAGTGGATGATGGTGCTGAGCCAAGAGACGAACGGTGAGACTCGATCTTCACCTTACACTCTTCTAGTTTCTGGTTGGGTGAGGGGGGCTCTTGTAGGTCTACAAATGTTGCTACTATTCCCGGCTCCCCTGCTAGTCCGGAAGAGGGATATACAGAATGAAGGAAAGAATGTGGTGGACCTGAGGGAGCTTCTTTTTTTGAGAGTGATACTGGTTTTGGCTTTGGTACTGGTACTGGTACCTGTAGTATTGGTGGTAGTAATAGTGGTGCAGCAGATGGCAGTGAGGCTATCTGATAACGAATTTCCTGTGTGCCCAATGGTGAATGGCTAGCCTCTGACGGACTTTGCCCCGGCTCTTGGTGGTGTTCCTCAGTAGTAGCACGTTGAACGTGGTCGTTGTGGTAGTGTTGCTGGGGGTGGTTGATAATTCGAGCAAGTTGACCCTCTTGATCGTGCAACTCAAACTTAGCCTGCATAATAATACAGGTACAGTTTGAGCTTTCGTATTATTTGAGGGGGGGGGGTTTTTTTTTTGACGCACTGAAGTTTGTTAAGCAACTAGAACACTGCAGAACAAATGAAAGAAAAAGAGGGCTAGGGATTTCTAACACCAAAGAACTAGATGAAAGGTATTGAAGGGTAAAAAAAATATGTATATAAAATAAAGGGCAAAAAACGCAATGTAACGTAAAAAGGATCAGGAGAATATTATCAAACCACAGGAGAATATCACAACTCTGTAAACAGAGTGGGGAAGCCTGTTGAAAAAAAAGCCCCAGCTGCAGTTACAGATGGGAAAAAAACAAAGAAGATGAGTTGCTGTTGAAGTGTGAAGCAAAGCGCAAAACAACACCATACCAAGACGAGAAAAGTAACCAGCATTAACAAAAGTCCGTGAACATACGTACCTGGCCTGGGGTAGTGTGATCAATTGTGATCAATCGAACGAAGTGGGACCAGCCAGCGCTCGGTGTCTTTGCTCCTGTCTCTGTTACGTTTCTGTTTCGGTGCTGACTTCGAAAGCTGGTGCCTCGATCTCTCAATAACTACCAGAGAGCACGCAAGCTAAATTGCAAAGCAATACAATACCTGTTCTCCCCTGCGTCCTACATGATCGTTCACCGCAGCAAGCAAGCAAGCAAGCAGCACCTCAGCAAACAAGTGCGGGCGTTTCTATCTCCGTTTGAGGCCATCGTCTCCTGATTCACGCTCGTTGGGGGGATGTAATTGAGCAAATAATAATAAAATAAAAAATAAAACAAAACAAGGTGAACAAATACAAATACAAAAAATAAAATATAAGAAAATAAAAATAAAATATAGAGAGAATGTCATAGCTAACAATGAAAACCTCGCCAACAGGATGCATCGCGAGAAGACCAACGATGTTCCAGCTGCAAGCGCTATTCCGAAAGTGGCACGGTTGTGCGAGGGCAACATTTGAATGCGAACACCTGCCAATTGAAGCCAATCGCAACCGGGGATTTGGTAGGGTGGCCCCGCCTGCAGCCAGGCAGTTTCACGGCAAATTCTGTTCTGAGAGCTGGGCAAATTATGAGGGCATTTCCCCTTCCTCATCCCACTCCATCGTTCACGTTATCAATCATAAGGGCTCACTAAAGAACCCAAGTTAAACTAACGACACCGGCAGTCCGGTCCCTCTCTGTTTCCGGGTGAGTTTGAGAGTGTGGGATATCTACTTGGCTCTTGTTGTTCCCGCATAGGTAGTTGGTGGTGGACCTGATGGTTGTGATGGTTGTGGTTGAGGTGATGTCCGCGGCGTAATTTTTATCATGTATGTACCTACATATGCTTGTTCGAGTCTATGTAGAGTATACATATGTGTGTTCGTGTGTCGAGGATATATGTACTCTACATGTAGGTTAACATGTATGTACACGCGACACCTATCACGTTTGGAGTTGTACCTGTCTTCTGAAATCTCTGCTGGAGCCTCCAGCGTTGAAGGCATCTCCTTTCGTGCACCCCGAACGTCCCCAAATATTTCCTTCCACCTCAAACATAACCGCAGCTCAGTCATGTTCCGATGAATCGGTTGGCGGGGTTCCTCAGCGTGTCAAGAGTGTGGCGGATGCAGTCTCATCTTTTTTTCTCTTTCCTTTTGATGAAGGCCCCGAGCGGTCGTCCCTTGTTAGCGGAGTGAAGAAAACCGAACAAGATCGAGACCTCGCCCAGTAATCGACTCGCCACAGGTCCATTTTTGAACTAACAGCCCTCACAAATCCTGCGAACCAACGATCTCCGGCACTATCACAACCTTCACCTAAAAAAGTCTCCTCAAAACTTGACACCGTATGACGCCTGTCTACATGGTCTTAGTAAACATCGCATCACAGGGACAAACACTAAACCTTCACTGGACGGTGGGCTTTAACATCAAGCCTCCAACAAAAATAAAGCCTCAGCATCATCTGGGACAGGGTTGTAGATCATCATCTTAAACACTCGTTTCTGTATGCTGATGAGCCCAAAAGCACCTCAAGAAGGGTCCAATGAGAGGCTCCTTGACACCAGGAACAATAAACGAGCTTTTCTTTGAGGAAATCTGGTCTGTCCCTGGAATAATTACTAACGCAAGTCCATCGATCTTGGGAAATCTAACTATTTTAGCAGACCTTTGCAACCTTGGTTGGAATATTCCAAAGCTCAGGCACGTGCAGCTGGCAGTAAAGAAGCTTACTAACCCTTCCTTTTCCCCGGTGCTCATTTGACCGGGGAATACGACGGACAGGGTATTTACTAGTGAGTCGCTACCAAGTTCAACCAGATTCTCTAGAAGTGCTATTGATCAAGCTATTCCATTTCTGTGTGTGAGTATTTTAAGGTGTTTAGAATTGATTTTCAACTGGATAAAGTCCTACCTGTTCGACAGAATAAGTTTCGCCGCGAACACCTTACATGGAAAGAAACATTTGTTTCCAAGCGTTATGTTTATCATATCGATTACATCCTTTCCGACCGACCCATCACGCCGTTATTGATGCGCAGCAATTGATAGGCCATTTCCAATGGGTTACTCAAAGGGCAGAATTATTAACGGAGAATGAGAATAGCTACATACATACGTGTTCACTTAGTGGGTAGTGATGTTTCTAAGGCGTCTTACATATCTTGGCTGGAGAATTGAAACATTTGTCTGGGCCTCGGCCTAACGGTGAGATTTCGGAATAATGAAGCATACAGTTCAGAGGAAAGAATTGTTTCTGGCGGGGAGAGCCGAATGGTTGAAATTTTCAATGTGATACCGCATGGGTCTGGCAAAACTTTTAGAGCTCTCCCAATCCCCCACGTCGTCTCCTATTATCCATTCGATGATCACTGCCGAGATGTCGAACGAGGAAAGGAAAAGCAATAAAAAAGACATTTTTGTTGCATACTCATGCAAGTAGGTAACCTCCTGAAGCACGTTTCTTGTCGCAAGCGACAAAAAGAAGATATCCTAGAGTAAGACTATGAAATACGATTTACCGGCGTAAAGCCAAACCCTCGGAAATTTGCCGACAGTGAAGTCTTCTGCATGGCAACAGGACCGAAGATCGCCACGAGCACGGGAAACGCCTTATGGTGATGTTTCTTCGTTGAAGCATGATAGGGTTTGCCCTCTCCATTTCAGCCTATCTTTATGATTTAACTTGATTATTCCCATGTTTTATAGATCCTAGATGTTTACTGAACTCGAGTCCTCCTGACCACAGTAAGACTTCCTAAAGCTCGCCTTCATCCGAGCTTCCAATAATATTCTAGATATAGGATCTCACCTGTTCTGGTGCCGAAAAGGACCCGAATTGGTGTAAAAGCCTGTTCAGTGATCCATCAATAAAGCACCAAATTCGGCACTATTCAATCATATCGATCCGTCCTGATATCATACGCCCATTCGGGGGGGGGGAGGCATTTGGCCAATTGTGATAAAGGACCTTTGGAAATTGAAGCACTGAAACATAGTACTTAATTGAAGGCCACGTGCTCTTAATTCCAAATTATTGATACTTAATTATTCCTGAGTTTCTCGAGAAGAACCCAAGTTTAATAAATATCATACGATCTGACCCAGAGCCCGAGGGTCCAATTTCCAGAAAAAAAACTATATTTAATTTAAATACCAAATATATATAAATGGTGGGACGAAACGGGTAGATGCTTCTTTGTTCGATGATGAATCCGGCATATCCGGTAAAGTGCCGGGGATCGGGATTGGGAATTTTGCCATTTTGGAGCTGAAGAAGATGAGTTTTGAAATCTTTTTTTCTTTCCGGATGGATGATCAGGTTGTGCATGTTAATACTCTAGGAATTAAATGTGCAGGGACCGCTGTGATGGCTACATGTATGTATTTACATACAAGCTGGTGTGAGGGCTCCCCTTTGGTTTGCCACCAATAATCGGCATTTACGCCTGCTGGCTGAACTGTCTGGCTTGTCAGTGGGCCTATTTTGTTCCGGCCGACATCACGGATCACCCAGTGTCACTCACAGGACAGAAGTCTCAGATTCCGCTGCTACATACATAAGCTCTGTGTCCGCAAGCTCTCGGTTATCCGATGTCTCCCTCCTACTCTAGCAGTAGCAGCAGCTCAGGGAGCTCGCGAGATTGTTGTGATAGATGCCGGACCGGCGAACCAACTCCTTCTCCTAAGGGAACAGATTAGCGAGTTTGCTGAAATTTCAAACAATTAGTCAAATGAATTAAGACAATATGGTTACACCATGCCTACCCATACCGTATATGACCATGTCTGTTCTTTGCTCGGCCCGACATGTCACCGCCCGGTGCAGGTTGTGCCGACACGGAGTTATCCTGGCCAGCCATGGAGGGGCGTTGTTGTTGTTGTTGTCGAGGGGCTGAGCTCTCGGAACACTCTGGCGCTCAGGAACCGTTGTCAGCCCTAACCCCCAAACCCTCGAGCTCAGGAGCACACTCTCTTTTGCACCAGAGAACCCTGGTTGCCAACTTTAATTAATAGCGATTGTAATTTCAGCACCGAATCTTATTTTCCGCAGGATCTTGGTGACGTCAGATCTACACAGTAGAGATTTTTGAGGCTCTAGGGTCGCTTGGCGTCAATCATTTCTGGGAATAGCGCATTTGACGTCACTCGGTTATCTACCAAAACATCTGGGGGAAGGGGCTAAAGGCTACGTAACTATAACGTCGTTGCCTATACTCAACCCAACCACCAAGGCACCCAGCTTCGTGAGGGTTCACTCGAGTGCGGGCCGTAGGATGTGAACAAATACTGACGTATTCGCTGATCCACTGTATATGACTTCTGAAAATGAATATAAGGAGAGGTCTTTGGGTCGTGAGATTAATATCCAACTCAAAGCATTCAACAATCACATCCTCACATCACTTAAACATCAACTCTAAACCAAATCACTTTAACACACCACATCAATCAACATGTCTGATCTTGGTTGGTCATCTCCCTTTTTATTCTTTCTTCGATAGGCCTACGGTATCTAATAGAAATCTCTCATTAGGAAGGAAATCCCTCGGCGACCAGGTTGGCGACAAGCTCAAGCCCGACTCTCAGAAGAGCACCACAGAGAAGGTCGGAGACACCATGAGCGGTATGGGAGACCGTGTTGCAGGAGCTGTCCAGCCTGAGTAAGTGCTCTTTACTGCTAACCATTACAATAGAGCTATACAACTAACAGTTTTACAGCTCCCAGAAATCCACTACTCAGAAGATGGGTGATAGCATGCGCTCCGGCTCTGACGATGCGTCAAACCAGAGCAAGGGAATGGCCCAGACCGTTTCCGACGCCATGGGAAATGCTGCTCAGACTGTATCAGACACCGTGAACCAGGCTATGGGAGGAAAGAAGGACACGACCAACAGGGACTTGTGATTTGGCAATTGAATCAGGGCCGGTGTTTGGGTTGCTTATTATGTATTGAATGAATAATTTATATGAACACATTATTATCGAATAAATGTTGGACAAGGAAAACCCTTTATTAATCGAATTTGGGGCGCTTTGGAGCTTCAGGGCCTGATTCGCTGTCCATTCTTGCTCTTTTATTCCCAGTCCTAAACTCTTGAGGGGCAAATTTCCCCTTTCCTTTCTTTCCCTTAATCCAGAGCACTTTTTCCCAATAAATTCGTTCTTCCTCTCCCGATAAGATCTTTCCTAAGACCCAATTTTCTTCGCGGAGTGCCCTTTCCCCCTTTTTCCCTTTTGTATCCTCGCCATTCCTCATGCTTCTCTTCCGTTTTTTCAACGCTTGGACAATCAATGTAGAGTCTCCTGGGTTCCCTAGCCTTAAGTATGCCTCGTCCAACCCTTTCTCATAATCAATATAGCTTATACGCGGAAGAGTAGGATCTTCACTGCTCAAGCTATTGCCTGATTTTTCCTGCTTTTCTCTCTTCTTTCGAAGGTATCTATCTACTGACCGGGTGATAAACGAATCGATAATGATTTTAGTTGTGGAAGGGTGCAAATTGGAAAGACGAACTATTAACCCCTTTTCGAAGCTTGATTCATTAGAAAAGATATGCCTTGAAGCCTTTTCTTCTCGAGAAGTGGTTTTATCTGAATTCATAATCTTGTGGAACTCTGAATTGACTATCTCAGGTCGTAAATGGTTATTACTCTCATTTGACGTGAACCTGTTCGAAAGATTCTCACGACTTAGGGTGACCGCTCGCACTCGGGCTCTCAACAGGGCTTGATATTCCGAGTCGCGTTTTTGCCATTCTGATCTAGGATTTTGAAAGTATGTCAACGTTTGTACAATTGTACCTAAAAAGGACAGTCGGCTAATAGGGTAAGCTTACTTGGTTAAAACAATCCAGTCTTTGGGCCATAGTTTCTTATTTGCCATATCATCTTCTGTTATTATTGAAGATAGCGTCACAAAAGTCCATGGTTTCCGCGTATTTTCCACAAATTGAACAGGAAAATATCTTCGGGGCAAAAACGATTCATGTAAGATCCTTGCTACTCTCCCCGGGTTTGATATTATAGTGGGGACATCTGGTTCCTAGGAGTTTGGCGGGTTAGCAAAGCGACCGAAGTATTGCGATACGGGAACCTGATAAACTCACAATGTACACGGTAAAGAGATCTTGATTCTGGTTTTGTGGTAGCAAAGTACCTTTTGCTTTACGGCGGACATTATAGCCATCGGAGCTTAGCTATTGGCTTGTAGTTAGTGTCTGGGAGTTATGTAGACGAACGGAGTCCGGGAAAACCTCAAGCACGTCTGATCTGCACGCAATAAGGGCCTTCTTAAGGCTGACCTGTGACAGGACCGGCTTTATTGTTGAAAAGTATTGACAGTCTATAAAAGCTGAAAGATGGAAATCTGTCATGAAACGCATTAGTCTAATTACAAAGAAACTTCCTTATTTAGGCTCACAATCATCTTTCCCTTCAAACTCTCGCATCTTCCCCTTCAGCCAATTTCTATGCGCTTTCTCAAACGAATAATCAGACAGCAAGATTTCGAGTGACATGACTGTCTCCCTAGCTGCCACGATATCGACATTATCCACCCTGCTTAGCCCCAGATCTCCTTCAGTTCTTTTGACTGGAGCCAGCAGTGGTGGGTGTACATTTGATTTCGAAGTCGTAGTCGAGGAGGTCGGTTTGTGTGGTACGGACTTTTTCTGGAATTGCCTAGGGACAAACATAACATGGTGTGGGGAGGGGTGAGCGATGTAGGTTCTCTACTGAAGGAATGTGCGTAGCGTGTTGAGGTCAGGGATGCAGGTGTAGATTGTACAATGCCGGAAAGAGTGTAAGTCACGTGTAGTTTAATATGTGGGATGATGTGTATTTCGGAATGTTTCCGCGTAGCAACCAGACGCAGTCTAGCCCGGAAGAACAGTTATTCTACGTGTCAGTGGGGATAAAATCTATTTTGTTAATACATTGAATGGAAAATACATGTAGTTAAATAAGAGATTAGATGAATTGCCTAACATACTCGCGCGGCCGAGTTTCAACTTAATCACATGACCTATGGGTAACGCAAAAAACCTGTTAAATAGCGTCACGTGAGTAAGTCGAAACTCGGCCGCGCGAGTAGGGGAAAAAATCTAGTCCAGGTAAGGAAACTGTCTAACTACATACATTTCATAAAAGTGGAGCGGAAAGTGTAGATTAGTCATACACTATAGCATGATCGTTGGCTGGAGTTGCAGGCCGGTGAGTACTGCTTTAATTCTGATTTGCCAAACTGGCGTTGAGCCTCAATTACAATCTCCAAAGGATGGTCTTGACAGGATGGTCTTGACCAGCCTTGAGGTACCTATACGTACGCCTAGCAAAGCCATTATGGTAACCTAATCGTGTGCAGGATTAAAATCTATTACGACTACCGTGCCTATACTTGACGCTGTCACGCTTTCGTAATTTTAGTGGCACCTTTAAGGAATGCAATATTAGGGTTAGGGATTGATATTGCCTCGTGTCACTCTTCATGGGATCTGACTCGGGACTAAGGTTAGGGATTAGTACCCAGCAGGATAATGACTAAGCTATGGCTGGAGTTTTCATCCCCTTTATATAGTGAAACATTATTTTCTTTTTTCTTATCAGATCATATCGAGATTTCGGTATTCTGAGCTGCACTAGAGTAAGGACCCAGGGCCAGTCCCAAACCAATTCAATACTCAGCCGAGGTAGCGTGAATCGGAGTTTTCTTTCAGCCGATAAATCCTATTATTTATTTTGTTATTTCCACAACCTAGGCGCTACAATCCACTTTGGCAGGGTAAAGAAGCTAGTTAGTGATTTGGAGATATTGTTCTCGGGGGTCGTGCGCTGATTACGGTCTTGTAAATCAATCCAGCCTGATTTACAATGGCGGAAACATTCAATTCCAGGCTCATTCGAACTGGTATCTGCTCAACACAACCATGGCCAACAAACGGTTAAAGTATTAAATTTAGTTTTTGCCGTCTCACCCCCGACTAATGGCCGCGGCCGCTACAGTACATCAACATCATGTATGTTATTGGATTGTATCCGGAAATCTTATCTTATCTCGATTATAGATGTTTCAGAAAAAACTGAATGTAGATGTAGTACAAAGTTACATAGAATACCATACTATATGTATCTACATGAACTTAGGTACAGTTGAAGTTTTAGGTCAACTGCACGAGTATTCAGGAATCTCCATGCATGCAAGCTAGATGCTACTCTACTCTACATACCCTATCCCGGGTAAATACACACCGTCATTAAACAACACCTGCACGGGTGTTTTACCCGCACGCATACGCAGTTGGATTGCAAATTCCGTGGACGCAATGTTCACCGCGCATGTACGATGTAAAGTATGAGTAGGTACATATTATTCTCGAGCACTTTTGATCTAGTGTTAAGCAAAGTGCATCTGCAGATAACGAGTCGAGAGAGCAGTTGCCCCTTAATAAAGCAAAAATAGAATCAAAAAGACGGTAAAGAGAAGCTTTCGGAGAAAGGGCCCATTGGCGTGGGGTTATTACTGGCAGTAGAGAGTCTAGCGATACTGCTGCATGAGACGTTTTCACATGTGCGTGTGGCATTTCGGATCTACAAATTGCAAATAGTTTGAGAATAAATTTAGGATAGAATCATTTCACATGCTTCCTGCAAGAATCGTTAAAGTTTGGGAAATTGTAATCGTCAAGATTTGTGATTTGCAAGTTTATACATACCCTAGATCTACATGTATGCATGATAGATGAGTGGTCGTGAAAAACTCTAACCTCCGCTCAAAGTGTAGATCAAGAAATACATGTATTTCTGATGCAAAAGTAAGTCTGTTGATCTTATACTAGACCTGCTAAAGGTGTTGTCACATATGGTAGGGTGCCCAGTAGACTTCCACCTACCCCCTTGAATCGAAATATAGTCTCTCAGGGACTATTCAGTATCCATCTATTATGTACTGGATATATATGTACCTACATGTAGGTACGTGGGTATCTACATGTAGATAGTATGTACTTAGTTCGTTGATTTGACTACATGTACTGAATCGACTTAGTGAAATGTTAGATCATCATTGAAATAATTATGCTCCGTAACGATCGTACGAACCGGTATCATCTTAAGATACCCCATTATCATGAATGCGGGAGTGATGCATATCTATGAAACCTTTTTTTAATTTCCACTTTTCCAATATCTCAAATGATTGGAGGTACCTACATGTAGGTGGGAGACGTGGGATTTTCGGCAGACGTACGACATGTCTAGTGTATATAAGCCAATCGGAAAAAAAAGACAGATGCAAAGCAACAGAGCCCTAAATGTATGTATGTACACGCTTACCAGCGTAAGAACCAGTTGCTCAGATCAGGGCAAGGATAATTTGTATGGAGTGGCGTCGTTCTCTCATACAAATAATCCCTGTTTCCGTTACTTGCATTTTCTGGTTCTTTTGAGGGTAAGCTGTACTTCTCTAAGTACATGTACCTACATGAGTCTCAACGTTTTCAGCCACAAGATAAAACCCAAATTTATGTATGGACGTGGTTATGTCACAGCGAGGGTTAGGGTTCTTGATATTACTGGGTTACATGTAGTATAAGACTAGAGTATAGAGGGCCGGATATATCGCGGTTTGGCCTAGTGTACTTACACTTTCCGACGTTGACAAGCCGATTATATAATTAACTGGCATTATGTAAAATTAGGTGTTTTATGATAATGGGAATCAAATCTTTTCGTACGTATGTAGGTACATGTATGCATGTACGTGCCTGCCCAAGTACGCCAGTCAAAAGCTACGATGTAGGGTCAATGATATCAATGATTAAGTGCATATAGTACAAGTAGGTAATGATATTCGTAACTGTGATTTCTATATATACTGGAATGTAAATGCGTGTAATATGGACATGCTAATAGGTACTCTCAGCTGTGCATGCCGTTGAATGGAGTTTTAGATCCAGTATGGTTGGTTTTTTGCGGAAATAGTACACAAGTACACTCTTGATCATGCAGGGTTTTCAAGCTTAAGTAAACGTATATAAGTACTTATGTAGGTATTGATTGATTGATTACTTTATTAATTGTATGCAACTTATATGAGATGTAGGTACATTCATAAGTATATGAGTACCCAGGGGTCCCGATAAGTGATGCAACGTTTGACTTAGCAACACCGAAAGGCACAAAGACTTCAATGCTTTAATACTGATTATGATAGATATTTGATAATACACATGATAAATGAGTCTTGGGGATAGAATCCGCGTTTTTTCAAGTCATTAATTTGGGGTTTTTTAGCCTACAAAAGGGAAACTTCTGACAAACAGCGATAAAAAAACAAGCAGCAGCTATTCATGATAAGTCTTACCAAAACTATGATCCTCACCCTCTAAAGTATCATAAATTCACTTCGTATTTTGTTGGCTAGTTTCGTTGTTGAAAAATAGGAATTATATGATCATTGCATCACTTATCGGGACCCCTGGGTACATACAGTCGGGGTACAGAAGTTTTGGTAAATTTTGGTTGCCGTTGCAACACAAAATTTGTATGGGAACACTATACAAAATCAGAAACACTCAAATCATGACTTTAAAAATTAGATCGCACACACCTGAAGAATGGACTTAAAATTCTAGAATTCTCTGTGCTCTGCCTTGAGATAATTTTCAACTGTCCTTGAAACTTTGAAATTTTTTGGATGAGGCTGGGTGGTTGCTTCGGGTAGCCAAACATGGCTACTTTGGCTGTAAAAAGGGTATATTACCAAAACTTCTGTCCTAGTACTATACATAAGTATTATCCTTATATAGAGCTAGAGAGACACATGTAGTTAGCTTAATGGTACGTTAGACACTCTTATAATTTAGCGGCACGAACATGGTCAGAAAGTTTTACACGTGGTTAGCTATGCTAATATCCCTAACCCTGAGATTGGAGGGTTATTTGTTAAAGTGAAATAATTTGTGCAGCTTCTGGGGATACACCGTAAACTTGAACACCGCATATGCCTATCGTGAAGGATCATTCTGACAGATGAGTTTACTATGACCTCGTAGTTGAAGGATTTTTGATTTGGGGTATTTTGTCTTGTGATTCTATTAACCTCCAAGATAGAGTGCTTACTATGGGTTTGGAGCAAGAAATAATAGATTCAGAAACTGTATAGTTCGAGAAGGCTATGAGTCAATAATGTCTTCATTTTACAAAACCTGATCCTGATAGTAAATCCCCAAATCCACAAATAAGATTGGGATACGAATCTAATAAAGGTAGGTCAAGTCACTGGTTTCTGCAGATAAAGAATTGATAAAAATGCTATATATAGATAAAGCATAAATGGTTTCATTCGTAAACCAACCAATCAGGTTGCATTCTCGTAAAAAAACGTTGAAAAACTACTCTTCATCCTCTTCCTCCTCCTCCTCCTCATCATCACTGCCATCTTCGTCTGCTTCCTCGAGCCACTTCAAGAAAGGTTCTGCAGCTTTGCGAACCTTTTTGCTTGTCTGAACGTCAACATATTTTTTACTCGCCCTGCTACCCCATTTCGTGATGGTCTCTTCGGTGGCAAGGTCATTTTCGTAGTAAGCCATAAGAATTGTGGGTATTGAGTTTATGAGTTTGGGAAACTCTTTGCCAACAAAGCGTTCGGTTCCACCAAGGAATGCTTTCTCATGGCGATCAGAAGTAATCATCTACAAAGATGTTAGAAAATAAACGGGGGAAGAGCTAGACAGGGTAACGCACCTTCTTGAGAAGGCCAACATGCTTTTTGACCTGATTATTCTTGATGATATTCTCATCAAAAAGTGTCTGGGCCAGAACCTGCAATGTCTTATGCTTCTTCTCAATTCCAAGCTCCTGGGTCTTTTTGTAAACTTCAATATCATCGATTTTCCCGTCCTGCTCCTTCTTTTGGGCGACGATCCAAGATCCAAGCTGATCATACGGGTTATCGGCACCCTCAGCGTCCTCATCATCTTCACCCTCAATGACAAGGGCTCGCTTCAAGTCGTCTGGGAGATTCTTGGCACGAGCCTTGATAGCTTCTTCAGACATATCGACGGCCCACTCATCATCCTTGATATCAGGGGTGTTCCCGTTGGCCGCAAGCTCCCTTGCTTCGGCGTTGATACGTTTGGTAAGCTCATCATCCGACCCACCATCTGCATCGACATCTCCTTGATCCTCAGAACCGCTGTCCTTTGGTGAACCACCATTCTCGCCATCCTTCAGCCCCTTGGTGCTCTTTCTAGAAGAGGTAGTCCTGACCTTCTTCTTTGGGGGATTTTTCACGATGTATGAAGAGAGCTTGTGACGCATTTCAACATCTGTGCGTTGACCACAGGCTTTGCAGTCACGAATGATGGATTCGTCCTTCTGAATAATCAGATCTGTTTCGGGATTCTTGCACTGTTTGCACAAGACAAACTTGCTGATGAAAGTGTCAAGGTATTCCTGGAGCTTTGAAGAATCATGTGCACCATTGATGATGTAACGGTCATCAGTGGGATTTGCAGTGACCTGGGCACCTAGTTCAAAACCGAAGAATTTGACCACATCTGTACTATCAATTAGAGAGCGTTCCCAAGAATTTAAGGCCGGAAAACTAGCAGGTCAAACTTACAGGCAGGATCACGGCTCAAAGAATGAGCAACACTGCTTAGGTTCACGATGACGGACTTGATGCCATTTCCCTTCCCTTCAATCTTAGATTGAAGACGTTCCATTTTGTAACGGTAGAAAGGGTCAGTGACATCGCGGCGGATATTGATGGTAGCCATGATTGTGGTTTAGTGTTCGAAAGAGCTGAAGTGAGCGGACGATGATATAAGAGCAATATCGGCGAGGTTAAACAGCATGAACTACTTTTCTGTCAAGAATCCAAGAAGGTTGGGTTTCGTTTTGTGTGGCGAAAAAGATGTGTGTCGAAGTTTTATCCTTACTTTCGATGGTTGGAAGCGAATATTTAGGTGGGGGAAGGATTACTAAAAGTCCTTCTAGTCTTTTTCAAAGGCCGTATAAGGCGAGAACAGTTCGATGGTGAGTTTGCGGTGGGGGGAAGATTCATGAACAACGACGACTGCGGGAGAACTGTCCAGATGTTCGTCTGAAAAAGATACTCTTGAAGAGTGAAAGGTGGGGAGTTGAGGTGTTTATTGCAGAAACGAGACGAGATTTCCTCAAGCTCGAGCGTTTGCGTGAAAGGCGAAGACGATGTTTGAGAGGAATATGTTTCGTTTCAATGCTATTTGCAAACGGGTGGGGAGACAAGAGTGCGGAGAAAAGGAAGAAAGGAAAGAGGGAAGTGGTTGTGGAGTATAAAAAATATTTTCCTAACACAGGCCACCTGTAACCCGATGAGTCATCCACTTTGTAATTTTTACTGGTTAGTTGTGGTGCGCACGCACATGCAAGATTGCGGGGCAATCCAGTGACCCCAGAAATTACCCGGCCTTTTTTTCGGTATCGCATACATGTAGATACATCAGTGTTCAAACGTCGTTCTACATGTAATTATGTATCGATGTGAAATACATCGCTGGGTAATTTATATATACATATATTTACCGTTGCCCGTTTACGATTTATATCAGCGAACAAGTATCTGCCAACAGGAAGGAAGAAAGAAAAATCCTCCTCACAGAACACCCGTTAAGCCAAAGCCTTCGGTGGAGTGATTTCTCCACTCAAAGAGAACCCAGGCCCATGAGTAGAACTCAAAACTACCTCCGCAATACTCTTAGAGACTTGTGTGACTCCTGCTATGTCCTTCTTAAGCTGTGTCATGAATGCCTTGATGTTTTCTTGTAGCTGTTGTTCCGTGAACGCGAGTTGGCCGATCGGCATGCGCACAACTCCAAGGCGCTCACGATAAGTAGCTTTGCCGACAAGGTCGCTAATTGCTGTGGTGGGGCTTTTGACAACGGTGCCCATCTTAGCGGAAGGCATAAGACCTCTGGGGCCGAGGATACGGGCCACTTTTGACTTGACAAGCGCTTGGAAGGCTTTGTCGTGGCAGAGACATAAATCAAAATCGAAGGTCCCATTTCGAATCTAAGATATTTCGAACATGTGAGCCCGCGTTTTAATTGTATTAAATTAATTGACCCTCCCCCAACAAAAAAAACAAAACAGAGTGTGCGCATACAAGATCAAAAACTTCATCGGTTCCAGCCATTGTCGCACCAGCTTTCAGCGCATCTTGAGCAACCTTTCCCTCAGCAATAACACAAATTCTGGTGTCCGTCTTCACAGGTGTCGGTAGCCGTACTCTGTCTCTCAACTGAGGACCATTTTTAGGAGTCTTGAGCTTGACAGCAAGTTCGTACTTTGTCCGTACTGGATCATGGCCAACTTCCACCGCTCGAATGTATCGAACAGCTTCAACAAGGGAAAACTGTTGAGCATCTTTTAGATTCCATTGTACGAACTCTGTGCGCTGTTTCCTTTTATCTTTCTTGTCTTTTTTATCTTTGGTTTTTCTCGGGGAGGTTTTTGTGTTTTTGGAAGCTTTAGAAGCGTATGCCCGGCATAGTGAAACAGCCGCTGCCCTAGGAGTAAGTGCTGAAGATGAAATGAAGGAGGTTAACGAGTAAGTTGGGAGACGTAGTCGAGGAGGCATTGTTGGGGGTTCGCGGGAGATCCGCAAGATCAATAATCTAGCGGTTCAAGATGGAGTAATTCGTCGATGCGTAGCGCACAGTTGAACCAATTGGGGTCGTGGTGAGTGGGCCAACTGTATGGAATCGTGAAGTTCAAAATTTCATTGGGAGGGGCTGAGTCAGCAGTATGGAATACTAAAGCCACCAGCTGAGTCAGCTAACGCCACACTTAGGACGCTGGGCAATATTAATGCACTACAGTTAATTAACTTGAAGTACTTGTATGTATGTGCATGTATCTTTTCTGTGAGGTTTTCTTTGATACATGAATGTATATGTAGGTGTATATGGTGCGCACACTCTTAAAGGTGAAATGGTGGCACACGGAAGTGGAACCGTATTATACCCATTTATACCCCAAAAAAGCAAACCTGACTGATCCGTGGCAGTGATGCAGCAAAATGCCTAGAAATGGGTCCTCTTATTGGCCCATGAGGCCCTATTGAAGCCACAATTGTTCCACTTTGTTCAGTCTTGGCGTATTTTACATACAAAAATACACAATTTCAACCTCTGATAACTTTCCAACCCAGACAAATATCAAAATTCTGCTAAAGTAGAACTAAACTTCATCACTTGAACTAGAGTTCTATTTTACCGCTTTTTTTTTTTACCATTTTTCGTTGCAAAGTTATCAGCCATTGACATTTCGTCGCGATCCGACACCTTTAAGCGTGGGCGCACCATACATGTATTTAAGCTCGATAGTCTCATTTACAAAAAAGGATTCTTATAGCATGCATGGAATACAGTACGGTATGTAAGATCATTCTGTCAATTGCAATATATCGCGATCGACTATTAACATCATAAACCATTATTCTTTTTTTCTTTCATTTGTACTTGAAATACTTTATGCTGGAGCTACACTGCGCTCAGAAAAGCCTTGATCATGAAGTATTAAGGCGGGTTAAATTAGCACGTACACAAAGAGACTACACGTAACTCCGGAACGAACTCTGACATGACTCGAGACTATTGTTAGGAGGTGATACCTTTCTGTGCCATGGAGTTTAGCTCGATCGGGACTACTCCAGGGAATCTGACTCGGAAGTAGGATTACTTACATATAGGGATGTTATTATTGATTGTTATTAGTGCTATTAAGCAACCTTTTTGTTATACTTGATGTTTCAAGGGTTATGTACTTATAACGGGGAGATCGAAGAGATTGATGTAATCCCAGTAAAAAAGATGACCTAAGTATGTTTTCATTATAAGAGCTGGAGAGAGCCACTTGATAAGGTGATTATGTACTTAGTACACATGCTGTCTAGATCTACATCAAAAATCATTAGCTCGCGGCCGAGATGTCCAACATAATTTAACGGTATCATCACATCACACGTACACGCTCATTCATAAGTCAACATGCAATATTACATGTATTTACATACATGTACCTACATTATATACAGTGGTATATATACAATTAAATATACATTAAGTATATGTACTTCATGCAAATGTGTAATGAACATTTTTTTAACTAATGTTCTCTATAACCTATATGTACTTCTACATGTATGTTGACAGTATTAGGCCATTGAAGCGTATTAGAGCGTATTTGACAACTGTCGATTTCGACAATTGACTGTTCGGCTTTGACAGTTGACTGTTCGGCTTTGACAGTTGCGGGTCGCAAAATTGACATTATACTTCACGAACTCTCAAATTATTTACTAGGTCTCGACCATTATCAGTGGTGACGAGATCGAGACATAAGGCCTTTTGCGCATTGATAGAGTCCAGCTCCAAGTTCTGGTACCATGTGCCGATACCCTTATCAATTAAAATTGACGGTTCGGCAAACTGCTATTGTAGTCGGCGAACTGTCAATTGTCGGAATCGACAGTTGTCAAATACGCTCTATTGAAGTGCACATCTTGAAGTGCACGTCTTAAGTCTAGCAGGAGAATGACTCAATAATGACTAATAATATGATGATCCCTGTTCAACTTTAGGCACACGTATATCATCCCTCCTGTCTATGTAGCCAGGGTCCAGATCCGTACTACGCACCCTACTCTACCTAGTTAGTATATGTACATATTCTACTCCACATACACAATCTACCGGCACCCAATAGATCGAAAACGGAGCACCGTGTCTTCATACCATAGGTCACCTTGGATCCGATTAGTAGCTACATAGGCTACTAAATATTCCTTGAGTTCCAACCAGCTCATGCTCTCTCCACGGCGAGTGAAATATCTTTTGCTCAACATGACTCTTCTCCTCTTTACCGCGTCAGCTATGATATGTTTATTGGCCTCTATCGTGTTCCTGCTTAACCCGCAGGCTTCATATTCGTTACCAAACTCTTTACAGGGTTTACAGGCAGCGCTTCCTTCATATCTACAAATTCACCACGGGGGTTGGTGGTCGGGTGAGCCGGATTACCAGGCTGCTTCAGGACACACCGTTGACAAAGATGAATGGAATTTACTTTATCACTTGGGCGGGAATGGTCCTTGGGTAGAGAAGGTTGATGGTGTCGTGGAAGGGGGAATACAGGTACCGGATGGATGTGAGGTTGATATGGTGCACATGGTAAGTTACTTCTTCGCTTATCTGACGGGAGGTGGGAGGTACCTGTATCTATGGTTGTTAATTTCTACGCTAGATGTCACGGCATGGAGAGCGTTTCCCTACACAGAAGGCTGGCAACAGTATGTGTCGTATCCCAGGAAACAATTAACTCTGACTAGTCAAATTAACGGAATACATTCTACAGGAATGATAAGTCTACTTGAGAGGATCTCAGAAGTCAAATCCACTGGAAAGGAACTCAAAGGCGCGCTTGAATTCTTAAACGACTGGGAATATTTTACGAACTGTGAGTCGATATATAGTAATGTGGTTTACAAAATATATATCTTACTAACCAAACTCCACAGCTCCTGGCGAGCATTTTGAACAACTCACTACTACCGGCCCTTATGCTGGTGTCCTAGAGGCCTTTACAACTGGAGTCAAGCTTCACACCCGTTATGGGCATCTATGGAACGAAACTCTCCACGGCCGGACAACAGTTTGGGCTAGTGAATGTGATCGAGTAATCGATACTGCTAGATACTTTTCCGCTGGGTTTTTTGGACTGGATCCTAAAGCTTCAAAGCTTGAAATCGTTAGTGAGGCCGCCAATAAAGGAGGTGACACGTTGACACCTGGGTATTTATCCCACCTTCTTTCTTTTTTACAGGCCCCAACCAATCACAGAAACGCAACCTCCCGGGAATTGGGTGCTGATGAAATACAAATTTCCTGGAATTGACGCTGACTTGCATAGCGACACTTGCATAAAATACGCCCAGGATGAGGAAGAAGGCCATGATTATGGTTATGAAATGCTTTACAAGTATCGAGCGACATACCTCAGCGATATCTCGAAAAGACTAGCAAATGACAATGAAGGATTTGATTTTACCGACTCTGAAATTTACAGCATGCAGGAAATGTGTGGATTCGAAACTACAGTGAGAGGATCTAGTAAATGGTGCGATGTCTTCACGAAAGAAGAGTGGCTCTCATTCGAGTATGCGAGAGATGTGATACACTACTACAGGGCTGGTCCAGGTAATAAATATGCCAAGTCGATGGGTTGGCTTTGGTTAAATGCTACTGCAAATCTCATTGCCGAAGGACCAGATACCGCAGGATCGCTTTATTTCAGCTTGTAAGTTACTTTGCAATTCCCTCCCCACCTCATAATTTATACATTAACGGTAATTTTAGTGTTCATGACGGGGATATAGTTCCTATGCTCGCAGCTCTCGGTCTCTTTGAGGATGCTGAGCAGCTACCTGTTGACAGAATTGCCAAAGATAGAAAGTGGAAAACCTCTCAGATAACACCCATGGGCGGCCGTATTATCTTTGAACGCATGAACTGTGCTGTTAAAGGCTCTGGAGAGGGGGATATTTATATTCGCCTCAATGTCAACGATGGTATTGTAGCACTCGAGGGCTGTAACGACGGTCCCGGTAAAAGCTGCCCATTGAACAGCTTCTTGAAGCATGTCAAGACCAGAGGGGAGATCGGTGGTGATTTTAGGAAAACTTGCGGGCTGGCTGAAGATGCAGCTGACCGTCTAACATTCTTACGACAGCCGATGGGAAAGATGGAAGAGGTTGAGGTAGTTGCTGTTGAGGCGGTAAAGGAGAAGGAGAAGGAGAAGAAAAAGAGATTTTGGGGAATGTAATGCAATTTCTTTTTGTTTTGCAAAATACGGTTATTTGTAGGTTATCATTGAGAAACGGTCCTGACTTGTAAAAGAAATGATTTTTGAAATGAGGGATCTTTTGGAGACACCCCCCGCATACCTCATTCGATTTTTATAAAATAATTGACATAAATGTACTATTCAAGTTACTACAAGTAGTTTTTCATTCGTTTTCTGTGCATGCAATTAATGAATTAAACAAAAAAAAAAAAAAAAAAAAAATCATTCGTTTTCTGTGTCATGAAATGTCACTCGCATATGGATGCATGTATGCAACTCTCCGACCAAAGCATCCCTCTTAGCATAATAGCTCCATGTACATATACTATGTTATGTGTTTCTATGAGGTATGGAAATACATATTGCCGTTTACTATACAGCAGTTTATGATAAAGGCATTTTAATTTCCGATGCCTTTCCTGACGATTCTATCTAGTACATGACTTTACGGACAGCTTTAAATGCACTAGCACCAATCTGAAAATTGCCGCCGATTAAATTTTCCAACAATATTTTCCCTATATATATAGCTAATACAGCGAGCTTTAATGATAGTCTAAAGTTAAATTAGCTATAGTTAAAATAAAACAAAATAGTAGCCTAATAAGCAAAGAAAAAGGTAAAAAAGAAATATAAGTTTAAAAATGTTGTACGTCAACGCCATATATGCATATGATAGCCTACACACAACAAAGAAGTTACCGAATAAAGGAGTATTTCAGAGACTCGTTTGGTGGTCCGACTTTGACCGATTTGATCAACTAAAGCAATCGATATATATCGATCAGATACTTGTTAATCGTTACCTGGATAATGATTACAACTGCCCCCCCCCCCCCCCCCCGAAAATCGTGTTTTAATTGACTTCACTCTTTAGATACTACTTATAATACAAGCAAAACAAAATTTTCAACGACGAAAGCATCATTCCTAATCTTAATCTCGAGTGAGAGCTCATGAGACTATATAGCTATTATTATTTTGTGGGGCTTGCAATTGCCTTAAGGCTACCTTATATACCAAGTAGGATTGAGGTTCAATATAAATTACCAGCTAGCTTGTTGGCCTAGCTTAAAAGGCACGTAATATACATGTAGTCTCGATAATGATTAAACATGGAGTCTGTGCAATATGTCTATCCCCCATATTCTAAATACAGTAAAACCTATCATAATTCCACCCCCGCGGTGGCCGAATTTTGCTAGAATTATCGTAGGGATGGAGTTTAGAGAGAGGTATTTGTTAACAAACTGCAGGTATCGTCCCCTCCAACCGCTGGAAGTTTGGTAGGGATGGAATTTCGAGAGGGTGGAATTATGATAGGTTTCTCTGTAGTATAATCTTCCTCGCTGTGGTCAGAAAGCATTATCATCGGTTGATCTCCTACAAGGACTGCTACGTGTAATGGACAATTAAAGAGCAACTCCCGGGTTCGGGAGGGATGCGACATATATGTAGCATCCACTTTCATAGGTTGGTGTTTTGCACTGACTGTTAATATAGATCTATAGTACAAGTAGATATTATGGATAATTGATCTCGTAATTGCATAGATTGGACAATATTATTCCTCTCTCTTAGGCTTAAGATTTAGCGAATTTGCGGCCGAAGGCTGCATTCCACCTGTACATGTATATAATAACACTTGACCTTATATGTGTTTTTCAACACTATCCCTCGTATATACAACTAGTGTGACTTTCATTATAACGAGCGTAATCCCGGGGCGCTAACCGCCCACTAGGTAGAAGATAGAGGTTTTTTCCAAATATCTAAGGGAGAGGGGGGGAGCTCAAGGGTTCGGTACCAACGTGTCGATACAATGTCCACACAAAAAGTATAGAAACTCTGGTAAGTACGAGTCTAATACGTACATGCACATGTATGCGTGCAAAGCCCTTCACATCAGTTTCCGCACCTGGGTTTAAACTACTCAGTAGTACGTTAAACTCCTTATTCACGCCGCCGACAAATTGTTGCCTCATGACTTCTCCATGTGCTTCGGGGTTCTACTATTTCGGGTTCTTTCACTCGTCCTTCTATTAACATTGTTGCGCAGTACTATAGTAAGAATTGGCCCTATAACTTAGGGAAAGTAACGTTTAATTCGGGTAATGACTACCTATAGTTTATTCTGCTAATGATAACTTGAATTTGTCCTGCGTATGTATCATTAATCTATTACTCTCATTTCCTCACTATTCACGATATTCTAGTCGACGTCCAGTCTGTTCCACATACTCTATATTTATCTCGAATTCGAACAATAGAAATCAGATATGTGAAAATATCAAGTATAAGACAAATAAGGTTAACAATATGGGAAGCTTAAGAGCATATCGTACCTGGGAGTAGGTTGTAACGACCGGAAACAGCTGGTAGTAGTATCTTAGGCCCTTTGTCCCTAATCGAGTTGGGTGGATTCCCTCACACATTGGTTAATCGTGCGAGATCTTAATTTCTCATTAGGTTTCAACTAAGGATTCTTTGTAGTCTTGTGTATTAAGGTCACAAGTGCATCCTCCAAAAAATCGATTTCAAAATCAAATAATGGCACACATTACTACCATCGCTATTCGTGATTGTAGCATCGTGTAAATTCTTTAATAAGAAATGTAAATCTCCTAATTGTATATTGTGAATTCATAATCTTCACGTTTTGACGGTAAATTCTAATATATATCTTGAGTCAACATGTCTAGCATTATAAACATATAGCATTCAATGAACTCGGTATTTGGAGTATAGACAAGTATTGATTATATGGAAAAGCATATGGTGCGCCCACTCTTAAAGGTGACGAGAATCGGGCGAAAATTCGAGGGCTTATAACTTTGCCAAAAAAAAAATTAAAAAAAATCTGTAAATAAAAAGTGTAGTACTAGTGATGAACTTTAGTTTTTATCTCCAGATTTTTGATATCTACTTTAGTTAAAAAGTTATAAGAGTTTGAAGTTGCGGATTTTTGTATGTAAAAGGCGCCAAAACTGAGCAAAGTGGAACAGTATTATACCCATTTATACCCCTCAAAAATGAATTGCGGCAGGAATACAGCAAAGTGGCTAGGAATAAGCCCTCTCATTGGCCTTGGAGCTCACCTTGCAGCCACGATTGTTCCACTTCCAGATACCACCATGTCACCTTTAAGAGTGTGCGCACCATATATCCAACCTTGGGGCATTTATAATTCATAGCATGCATCAACTCACAGTACTCTACTCATCGATATTTACATGTAATTATCTCTAGATGTATAGCCGGAGAAATACACATGGGCCCGGATCTCCAATTCTGATAAACATGCTTCTTTCGACCTTATTATTAATCTATTAGTGAGGAGCGGCCTCCGGCCGCATATGAAATTAATCATCAGTTCGAGGAACTGCTGATAACTAAAGGAATGTGTATGTATAAAGATCCGGCCCTGTTCAATGGCTCGGATATGCGTAGGGTTCGGTGTAATTGTAGAAATAAACATCGATATGTAATTCACGCACGCATTCGGCGCCCCTCCTTGCTCGCGTGAGGTTGTAATTTTAGAAGAGTAGAGTCGATATTGATCTTGGACAGAAGACTATTATATAGCATGACGGCAGTGCTTAGGGTTTGCCATTTAAAGAAGATTTGAAAACATGCATGTCGTCTCCCTTAAAGCACCCCATTCCTTGTCTATTGACAGCTGTAACCCGCCAGACCACAGAAACCGGAGGCATCTAACCATCCAATTGAAACCTTTCGTGATGACAGAGATACCTGACTATTCTATTTAGATGACCCGAAAGTTTTAGATCACTGAGATCCGCAAGATTCGAGCGCCATATAGCAGAGAGTTAAATAATAATGTGCCCCCTTGGCACCAAAACCTGACTCCTCACATAAATCAACGAAAATGTTTCTCGATCATCAAGCATAATGGGCTAGTGAGGCCGAATTCTATAATACATAGCTTAGAGTAATACTAGTGTGTCGACTTTTATTTCCGAAGAGCTGAGAGGCTATGCATAGTTGAGTAGCTCGGGCATGGCGATGCATAGCTCATGTAAGAGTTATTCAGAACTCCCTTAAATCTCCACATAATCAGCTTGATCGGTTAGTAATTGAAATGATATGATAGGATATTTTCACGTGCTCTAAGAAGTACAGGGTCTCAAATGAAGGGACAGGCTGTCTCACGTTTATCATATATCAGCACGTACGTACTCCGACGTCCGATGTAAATGATGATTGGCTGATCCTCAACGCAGAGCGGTGAGGGCTCGGGAAAGGGTGACGAAAGGTCAAGTCCATTCTGTAGCAGATATGGACTATGGATTCTTGTAATGTAACAAATGCCCTACGTGTACTTTGGATTTTTGACACCGATGGCTATGTACGTCTGCAGCAGATGGTTTGTGTGTGGACGGACAGGTCAGCCAAAGATTAGGGCCGAGTATCAGGTCATTAATAAGTGACTATAGACAAACCCGCTCATTGGTAGCAAGCCTCTCCCGTAGATGGCCCGCTGGCATTTCTTGCCGACTGATCGGAGAGAGCCGACATTATGCAGCTTCGGCGACCGCTCCAGGTGTACAACGGCCCGAACCGATAAGCCATTGTTTCGAAACATCGCCGCTGCCCCGTTTGCTTTTGGTGATCATATGAAGATTGAAATACCGGAAAGAATACGCGGGTGCCAATTTCTTATTCTCAGTAGCTGAGTGTTCATAAGTAATTTCATATTGAGGAGATGTTGGAATATAGCCAAGAGAAGAAGTGTCTTAATTAAAAACAAAAAAACAGGCACTGAGAAAAGTTCCCCTTGGGATCTGGGCCAGCGATGATTTCCGAATCCTCTGTAGGCGGTCTCCAATGAGTCTTGACGGACATGATGCCTCCACGTAGCAACATCCAATTATACTGTCGGCATCACCTCGCTATCCCAACCCCCAAAATAAGAGACGATCGAGGATTACTTCACAGTTCGTATCTTCTAATATGATAGGTCCCGTAACACGATAGGTCAGTGAAAGTTTCCTGAGGACCCTGATCTGACCTGACCCTATTCTATTTCGTTAGACGAGAGCCTTGATGACCAATGGATCTAGGAGATCTCCTATTTTATGTCAGATTCTTGGAAATTACCATGGTGCCGGAGCTAAGTAGGGTCAATAGTGAGGTCCAATAAACTTACAGTGCGTCGTGCCCTCCAAAATAAAAAATTTCACTGCGAGCATAGAAAGATTTAACGGGATGTCTGCCTATTTTGTTTTTACAGTAAACCTTGCTTTTTCTAAACTTATTCCAATTGGAGCATATGCATGGATAAGTGATTTTTCTTTCGGAGAGCTTACGGGATTGATACCTTAAGGTTATACTATAGGACCGAACACTCAGAGAACGTCAATCATATCTAGGATACTACCAGATATATACCCAAGGGGTCAAAGATGTTTTCTACTGATGAAAATAAACCCCCTGGAACAAGAACGTCGATTCTGTCAGTAGCACTAGCTGGGGACCGCTCAGTAGCAAGTAGGCGATGTTTGAATAGAATCGAAGCACATACTATAGCTGCATGTATCTTCAGGAAATGATTACACTTTAAGGGTTATCATTTATATTCAATAGTATTGCAGCGATATCAAATGCGTTGCGATAAGTACTACTACGCTCTTCCAATGTTAGTCAGACCATTACAGTGACAGTTATGGATAGGCTCCTCCGACCTGCGCATCGAGTGATAACTCATGAAGATCCCGCACGGCGACCTAAGCACTCAACGGGCCTAATTGGAACATCGCAAGTTGATACTAAAACACAAGGACATCGCGCGATCGACCGGGAGCAATACATGAGCTGGGACCGATAAGCTCCCCGAGACATTGCGGTAAATCCCGCAAAAGACTAGCCACGTTCCACCCACCGAGCCTTATCAATACCGGGATTTTCCCAACATTTTATGCACGGCATGTGTGTGATCATGGCTTGGGCTCAGTGACATGGCAAGTCAAAACGGCGATGTATGTGTAAAGTGCACTGCATGTACATACGCTACCATAGGTTATGTATATATCTATTCTGGCTATGTAACTCCATCAGCAATATCTGCAACATCAACAACCTTTGTTAACTCTTTGCCCCAGCACAATGACCTCATCTACCTTTGCAGATTGTACAGCAGAACAGATGCTGTCTCATTACTGATGATGCCGCGCAAGCCAGCTGCAACACGGTGACTCTGCAGTGCCCATTCCCAGCCATAAGCCCGCCATCCGAGCTCTCGGAACCAGCCCCACAAATGATATAGCAGGCGTTCCCGAAGGACTTCGCACACCGCAATGACTGTCCGAGGGGAGTTAGGTAGGGTTGACTGAAGGGGTGCACTCGAGGTATATATGTGGGAGCAGTCATGAAATTTTGATTCACCACATTCGCGGAGCCTCTTGGACTCGCCAGGCACTCACTTAGAGTATGTAGTTTATCCTGGATGCGCGTGCGTACATACATGGATGATGAAGGATGTGAGTACCTCGTAGATCATCCCCAACGTCTGTGCACGTGTTCGGGAAAAGGATCGCCAGGTGTGAGATTGGCGGAGGTGCATGTAGGTACATCTCACCCCTGATTTGCGGGCTTCTGGGCGCGTCTGATTCTACTTACTATATGTAGATGACTAGCAAACCAATTCACCACACATGGCATACGATAGTTATCGAGAAGACTCGAACTGGATTGTGTCCTCCGGGGTACTCTAGACAAGTGCGTGCTGGTCTGTTTTGATCCTTCACTCGCTTTTACTGGCATAACATGCCTACTCTAATATAATACTCTGGGGCAGGGCATTGTTTTGAGTATGTTCCTACATCTCCAGGAACATGGAAATAAGGTTCCAAAATCAAGCCCCTTGGCGTTGACAGAAATCGCCCAGTTGGATTTCAAATACGATCGCCAAGACGGAATCCTAGGACAAACGATAACCATAGAGCCTGTCTGATGTCTAACTTTCGATATGATGATGTATGTAGCGCACATACGAGTACAGCATAACCAGGCCAGTACTGGTTGGCCACCGCCATTCACAAGCATCGGGTGTGTTCCAGACTCTTTTAAAAAATTTCTGCTTGCACATAGGTACTTCTGCAGTGTAAACAAGTACACCACCCCATGAAGTCAAAGGCTTGCCATGGGTTCAGTAGTAATTCAAAGCCCACGAAGGTGAAGAAGGGCATAGGCTATATATGTATGATAGGGGCAATATCGCCCCTCATATCTGAAATCGCTGTCTTGGTCAACGGCCAAACTTCCAATCAATCTATCAAATCCAAGGGTAGATTTGTAATTGTTGCACATATTGTTGCACATACGTACTGCTTCTCGTCACCACTGCAGGCATCCCCCCCTTGGGGGTGGGAAATCGAAAGCCACAATGTAATCAACTCTATCTGGTGGCCTACCAAACAGCGCATAGCCTCTGATGTGCGGGTAATAAAGTACCAGATACCCCAAAATTCCGGGCTGGCCCCTAATGCCGGGTATCATGAGATCTATTACAACAAACTCCAGGTCATCTTCCGATATATCGAAAAACACACCGGCTGTAATACACACCCGTGAGAAAGAGTGGGGTTTGAACTCGAGTGTACTTTCCGCGTTACTCGGCGGCTTTACACCAGGCTCTGAACTACCCGGAGTCGATATCCGCACCAAGTTCTACATCGAGTGAACGATTCCGATTCAGATGTCTGTCGGCTCCTGGATTTTGATTTTGGCTCTATTGTTTGTTCAGTGGCCGACCGTCATAGCACAGGGAGATGGATCCAATCTGGCTGATGATCGAAGGCCTGCGTTATACACCGGAGACTTCGGGAACTGTATGGAGAACTCCACCATCACAATATCCCGCTTCGATGCCGCTTACTATGCCGATAATATGACTGTTCTTTTCCACATCGATGGAAAGACCTCCTTGGTCAATGATAACCTGATGAGTAAGTATATACATGTATATATAGAAATTTTAAGGTTTTCTCCACGGGCCTAAGCTAACCTTAATGCTTACAATATATTAGTTTATCTGACCGTGGATGCATGTTCGTGGCTATAATAATCCTCAAGTACTATGGTATATGTACTGATCAACAGGGCGATAATACATCTAGATGGAGAAAGCCGATTTAGTATATTATTCAACCCGTGCAATGCAAACCTCCCCTCACTTTGTCCGGCTAGATCGGGTGTAAATATAACAGCGGCACACATAATCCCAGTATCTCAAGCTGATGTTTCTGAGATTCCAGGTTCATAATCTAATGTTTATAATATATATCATTAATAGATAGATTTTCTAACTTATTTTTATTAGCCATTGCTTTTGCCATACCAGACTTTGAGGGACGGGCAGATTTACGGATATTTTCAAATTCCACAAACCGCCAGGTTGCATGTGTAACTGCTATCATTACAAACGGAAAAACCTTCTCGCATCCAAAGATAATTTCATCCGTATTAGGAGGTTTTGCCTTTATCGTTTTCATTTCGTCGTTTGTCGCAGCTTGCAGCACATTTGTCACCGGCGATGGAATTATCGGCTCACGATCACTCTATGCTCACTCCCTTTCTGTATATATGGTATTTTCATGTTTCCATTCCATATTCTTCACTGGAGCGTTGTCGATCGATTTTCCCAGTGTCCTCATTTCCTTCTGGTCGAACTTTGCTTGGTCTGCTGGCTTGATCAAGGCCGAGTCTATGCAGGACTCGCTGGACCGAATCACCAGAAAATCTGCTCCCTCCATAGATGCGATGGACCCGAGCGGGCAGGCTCTAGATCTCGAAAGAGAACTATATTCGCTCTCGAAACGGCATTTCCAGTTTGGGGTGCATCAGAAAGAGGGACTCCCGGTTCCTGGAGGTTACTTAGGCTTTCCCGCGACTCTTGCGCAGTTAGATATAACCGCTACCAATGCGTTCATGACAGCATTTCTCTGGTTTCTAGTCCTCCTTGTGAGTCTGGTTGTCGTCGTCGTCGGTTTGAAATTGATACTGGGCGCATGTACTGCCGCTGGGTTGGGGAAAGATCGAGTAAAAGTATTTCGAGACAACTGGTTAGCTTTTCTCAAATCAATTTTGTGTAGAACGGTTTGGATTCTCATTCTTTTTTTCTTTCTTTTAACCTCTCTACGAGTTGTATGGTATGATGTAAAAAAGGATAGATACTTACGCTCTTCTAGGTGCTCATTGCTTTCTTCCCCATGATGCTGCTTGCAACTTTTCAGTTTACATTGAAGGTGCCTGGGCCCCAAGCGATTGCCGCAATTGTATTCATGACCATACTCATTGGGGTATCTGCGGGTATAGCGCATGCATATGTTAACATCTTGCGTGGGGGAAGACTCAAAAGCGAAAGGGAAAGTCGAGTGATATCTCTTGAACGTAAGTTTGGCTTCGTGCCGTGGTGTAAGATCTCGCGCCAAGGCAGTAACGCCGCTGATCAAAAGCCATCCCCGACCCTCATACCTTGGTGGAAGCTGTCAATTGAAAAAAACCAAGAACGTGATATCCATGACGAGGAAACGCTCGTTCATCAGTTCGGGTGGCTATCTGCCCGGTTCCGAAGGCGCAGATGGTGGTTCTTCGGACCGTGGTTCCTTTACGAGTTCATCAGAGCATTGTTCTATGGCGGGGGTCAAAGCAATCCACGGGCACAGATTCTCGGGCTACTGGCCCTAGAGATCATTGCCCTCGGTGTTTCAGCTTCTGCGAGCCCCTTCCAGAGTGTGAGGTTAGTAAAGGGATCCGATTATTACATCACAGTTACCATATATCGCTAACTACTTGTTATCATTCAGATTAAACGCATTAATATATGTTTTCGGTATCATGAAGATTTCAACCTTAGCAATAATCGCCGCCTTGATGCTTAATACCGGTACAAATGTAAGCATTCAATATTTTACCACTTGCCAAATAGGGTAATGGACAAGCAAATCTGACATGGTGATCATAGAGGATCGTCGTAACGGTACTTGGGATTGTCATCATTGTGTTCCAAGGGGTCACAGTGTTGGCGGTGATCATCTTTGGCGCAGTCAATGTTTACACTACGTATTTTGTGCTTGCCCCTCTAGAATCCAGGATCAAACCCGAATCTTGCATACCGGTCAGGGAAAAGTACCTCAAACACATCCAAACAAGATCTGTCGACATCGATCCACCGCCTAAGGTCGAGACTGAGCCTGTTGTGCCCTCATTTTCCGTCACAGATGTGCGAAGATATCCCAAAATTGACGATGAATATGATGACCAAAGAGGACCCCTGTTTTCAGGATCTTCGCAAAGAGCCACTATGTCTGACGATCCAACGGCTCCGAGGGCAAACGCCCCTTCAGGAGTAAGATTGCCTCGCCGAACCTGGTCACCGAGTCAAAGCTGGACCAATGAAGGCATGTCCTCAATTCCCCATCTGGCCAGTTCACGAACCGATTGGCCTATCCTCAATCCACCACCAGCCTCTATAAATAATAGTTTTCGTAAAGAGACCCCACTCGGACAAGCACAAAACTTGCAGTCGTTAGAAACCGATGTACATACCTTCCCACAAAAATTCTAGTTTTTTTCCTTTTTTTTTCCTTTACGGCAGAATATTGGCACGCTTACTCATTTTATTGTACTCTTTTTCAGTTGAGTAACCACAAATACAATGTTTGGTGGTAACGACTGATATCTGATGTCTTTCCTTTGTGGTGTATATAATAGTAATAATTTATATATTTATATATATATACTGGTTGGGGGCGCTCTTGCGTAAATAGAAATCACAACAACAGTAATTTATGTTGATCAGATGTCGGCAGCCTAACCGCAGTAGATCATTTCCTTTTTGTGGTGTTGAGTTCTTTTTTCTGGAAAAGCAACATTACCCGAACGTTTGAGTACTTCGTCACCTTTGACGGTCTGTGCGGTTCTGACAGCGGTCAACGACAGGATGGTTTTCGTTCAACACGGACCTTTCTCGGAGGTGTGAGATAGTCTAAGGAGAGTAAGTAGCTTCCCCACTGGGGTGGCACGGCTCCTAGTCTAGAGAGAGAGGAGCCCTGCAGCACTTTATGTACCGTCCTGGTCCCAATGTCCCAGTGTTCCAATCATCAACTTGCAATCGCTTTAGGCTTTTATCCTATCCTATTCTGTGAATCATCCGATATCGAGATGTATCTTAAATTATGATTCCGAGTGATCGACCACATTAGATCCTTTGGGAATGGAGAGACAGGCTTTGGGTGGATGGATGGATGGAAGAACGATAGATTGGGAGGAGTGGAGGAGTGCTGGAGGAGGAGGATTGATAGGGTAGTTGGGATGTAGTTCTAGCCGATGCGTAAGCCCAGGGAAAGGGCCTGCCTGCCATGTGAGCTCATCGGTCAAAAACAAATAACAGCAGGCAGCTATGATACCCTAAATGTATGTACCTAAATGTACCTACACGGCTTCCCCAGCCGTTTTCTCCCTTGCGTGTTGTGTCCCAGGTCTCCTCGCTTTTCTCCGCTCTTCACTTTCACATCCCACCGTCCCACGCACGGAGGCCCTGAGAAAGAAGAGAAAAAGAAAGAAAAAGTACTTGCGCCATGAAACTCACCAACTGTGCAAGCGAGCCGGTTAAATTCAGGTGTTATTCCTGTAAAAAGGGCGATGATTGCCACCCTTTCTCGGGGAAGTCACCACGCTTCAACGCTTAATTACATCGTGAAGCGGCCAGCTGGTACAATCTGATACAGCGGCGATCAAAGATTATTAAATAAACCGCGGTAACTTCGCCATCTTAGCTTTTCGCCCCTTTTCAAAAGCCGTTTAGTAGCCTCCTCCCTCAATTAACACACACCTAACACTCTACACGCACACACATACATACACTCACACACCTAGGGCCTTGTCAGTTCAGTCTAATATGTTGGCTGTCAATTGATACCAGGAGTGGTGGGGAGGGGTGGCCGATCATCTGTAACAATTGTTTATTTGTGGGTTGCATGTAGGGCGTGTAGTAGTAATAATTGTTTCCCAATCTTCTGTGCGTTCTCTTCTTCAACAATCCTTGGACGAACCCTTTCCTCTACGCGAGGTGCGTTACCGGAGAATTTAGGAAGGGGGAGGAGTACGTCTTTGACAGGTTGACAGCCGCCCGTTTCATATATGGAAAGGGCGTTAGTTGGACTGTTCGCGACACGACGGCCAAGCGCCTCTTCATGCGGGGACCAACGCGGTACGGTGATCTTGTACCAGGGCCCCTGATTGGTATCTTGATAAATTTCTCTGTTTGATTCACACTGGGCTGCATGATGTGGATGACGCTTCGGCACAGCTTGCGAGGGAATTCCGACTTGTGGAACGGTAAGATTTGCGGTCCCACCGGACAGGGTACGTTCATTTTCGGACCAGGATGCATGCTTGTTGTTGGTTCTTCCACCAGCGTTCCATGCAGATTCTTATAGAGGGTCATGATTCAGGTCACGAAATAGTAAGAATCCATGGGTGGATGGGATGGATGGATGGATGTGGTGGTGATGGTGATGGTTGATGAATAGGGTAAGTACCGCAGAAACTCGCCAACTTGATTATCTCCGTGCAGGGATTTCTTCATTGATGATTGGCTGAAAGGCAGAGATCAGCTTCAGATATTTCTTCTACAAGTTAGTTTTTGGTCAGATCCGCTAGCAAAGTTCGTGAGTTTTTGCGGTACTCTGAAGTTCCCAGCATGCGTATCCGTAATCTACTCGTGCGTCTTCGCCAAGGATTTTAACGTGACTGAGAGATCAAGGCATTTGACCAATTGAAACACCGAAATCCCTTTCTTCACCGAGTCAGGTGAAAATTCTTGGCGAAGACGCGCGAGTAGAGCACTTTAGGAGGGAGTCCCATCTCTAAGGGGAGATCTACCATATTATGCCAGATTCCCGTCGATAAATGACGCCGGCAAGACAGCGAAGGCACCCAATTATCGTTCGGATATGTGCAAATACCCCTCCGCCTTTACCCAAGATAGAACGCCGTGCCGACCCCATAAGTGCAGTCGATATAGGTCGCGAGGGGAAGTGAGGTGAAGGGAAGGAGGGAAGGAGGAGTCGAAGCATAGCATTAGGCATATGCGCTGCTCATGCTCGTGCTCGTGCAACACCACCAAGGGCCAAAATATCATCGCCGAATGGCAAGTGTGGACTGTGTGGTGAGCCTCTTCTCATCGGCCACCATTTTATCAGTGGGGGGTTTCCCTGATTTCGGGATCCACCATCTGTGATAGGCAACTCTCACCCGAGGATCCACCTAACTACCCGTCCATCCCTTGCAAATCATACAATCTTTTGAATAACTTCTGCTTTTTTCGATTCCCTTGTAGACTACCGCAGTAATAACTATTTTTCTCTTACCCTTTTTCGCGATGCCTCATATGTTTTTTTCCCCCAGAAGAAGAAATATACTGAGCAGAGCACGAGTGCCGTATCCAAACTCCCGTTTTTACAAACTCTACTCTAACCTCTTCCCCCCCCCCCCCCCCGGGTTACGTCACGTCCCTCCCCATCCTCCGTAGGTACATCTCCGTCCCCCCGTCTATCATCATCATAATCATCAACCCCCCCCCCCCCATCAAACTGTCGTTTCGTCTGATCAAGGGTTCTAAAACCCCACATACTCCCCTTATTTCAACGAGACTCACACATACATACACACATCACATACATCTATCTACACCTCGGTTCCCGGCAAGAACCCATATGGCATATCGTACGATTGAGATTGATTGATTACACTCACGGTTCACCGCTGAACAGAGTGCTCACCACTCACACCGAACACAACTGCCGCGCCAGCGCCATCTCGCTTAACGTACTTTGTAACAACCAAAATTGACCTCTCCCAGGCAAATAACAGTTGATGCGCGCTTAGGCGAAAATTGATGGTGGGCAGGTAGGGTTAGCTGGGTCTGATTCGCTTCCGGCCACGTTGCTGCAAACTGTGACGGGCCGTATGGTTGTAGATCAGCGGAGGGGGGCGTGGGCGTGTCGCAAAGCAGCATGATCGATACGGGCCTCTCAATCATGCTCACTCACTCACCCTCGCTCTCGCCCTCGCGCTGGTCTTAAGGCTTCATGAATCGTAAGGTTGGGAAAATCCATGGGCGCTGCTGCAAAGATGATCTATCATAAAGAGGCGGGCAGCTATGACGGATGATGATAGGGCATGTGTGCGTTGGAAACTCAATTGAGAGAGAAAAGAAGCAAAGCAGTCAAGCAGAGGGAAGGGTAAAAAAAAAAAAAAAAAGTGGAGTAAACTTGGAATCTGCAGGTTTACCTCTTCTCACCGCCGCTGCACATATCTTCCTACTCTCGGCCAGCGCAGCGGTGCTGTTTAGGTCACTTGACTGCCTTCTGGAAGCCAGATAGAAAAAAATAAATTGATGGGCCCTCTTTTTAATGCGGTAAATGGGAATATCGCACCGGCTGCGTTAGGTAGGAGGGTGGGTCGTATTTGGGTTAGGAGAAGGGAAAAATCCAACAAGCTACATCCTCTACCTAGGTACTCTTGACTTTTACCAACCTCCAACCCCTCCCCACGAATTGCGTTCCCGACCTGTGGGACAGCGTCGTCACATTTGGTCTGCATTTTTCCCTTTTTTTTCCTTTTTTCTGGCAGACGTTCGTCCCTCCCGGGCAGGCAGGCTTCTCTGGGAAAACGATCTGCGCGATGATTGTTTCGCCCCCATCTCACCCTTGGAATCGTGCGTGGATGATTATCGGGGAATCCCTGTAAATCAAGACACAATCCCGACCCTCTGTTTAGACGGTCAATCACGGTAAAATGCAGCACGATTGATTGGTGTAATCTACCACATTTGAAACACTGACGGCTCAAAAGCGGTAAGGTCGACGCCCTCCAGGGATCCGTTAAAGGCCCCTGACCACATCCCCTGCTGCTCATCATCGTCAGCAATGATCGTTCGCGCAGCAGGCAGCAGGCAGGCAGCGTCGCTCCCTCCCTTCCTTACCAGGTCCAGCCAATCAGAGTGCAGAGAACGGCGAAGCCCACTGCTCTTCCGCGCTATCAATGCTTGCTTGCACCTGTTCTTGCTGTTCTTTACTTTTTCTCTGCGGCTGGCTCGATTTGAGCGATCAGTCATGGTATGGTGCAACCGGTATGTACGAGCCCCAACTTCAACTCATCCAAAGTTGTGTTGCTGTAGGTAGGTAGATAGGGTGGAGCAGAGTTTGTCTTGCCTTGTGTTGAAGCTTTTGCCTACATACATACTGACGATGATTTCATTTCCACACGTAAAAAAAAAAAAAAAAATCCCCAAAAAGAAAAGAAAAAACTGACCGCCGGTACTTTGGGAATGAGGAGGGAGGGGGAATCGTGAAAGTCCGGATGGATGAGGGTGTACATGCCAACTAAGATCTACCCAGCGATAAAGTACAGACGGACAACGCTGCCTAACAATTGATCCCCTATACTCTAATCGAATATATAGCTATATGTATGCGCTGCGTCATGTCACAGCACCCGTCGCATATACCTATATTCGAGACGAAGGACGAAAGAGCATCTTAAGGAGAAGAGGAGGGGGGTGGTAATTCCTAATATCGTCCTGTTATGGCAGAAATATATATTACTGACGATCTTATGATGTTTGACACCATCCATCCAAGCGGTTGGTTTGAGGGTTCGAATATTGATAGTAACAGCAATAATGAGAATACAATAATAGCCACCACCTGCCCTGTGTATTTCAAGGGCAATGGAGATGTGTGTACCTATATGTATATACCGTACATACTTCAGCGCCGCCATGCTTCTGCGAGCATCTTGTGTACAGTACAGGGCCCTGCTGGAGAACGGAATCCCGAATTTTCCACACACCCTCTCCACATGGCGAGCAGAACAATTCAGGATGAAGAAAAAGAAAAGAAACAACAAAACCAAGAGCATGAAGGGGTCCAGGAAGGGCCCGTTTTGCCGAGACCCGCCTGTACTGGAAAGTGCTGTTTCGGGTTCAAAGGGTCGTCGTTTCCACCTACGTCAAGTCAAATATGTGCCATTCGACCACAACAATCCGTGCCTCATCTACCCCGGAGCCATAAACTGCCATCTCTGAGGCATTGATTACCTCTTCTATCGAGATCGTCCTTGGAAACCAGGCTGTTGGTGTAAAAGGCACCTGAAGCGGTGGGTAATATGGCGTAGGTGGGCGGATGATACTGCTACTCAGGTCTTCCTCTGCCCAGTGAGTTCCTCCCATAGCCATTTCTCATCCCATCTTTTGCACCCTGCCCCCATGCTTTTCCGGTGAATCTCAACCAGTAAAAGGATTGTGGCAATCACCGATGATTTCCCCACTTTGACTCCACCGGGGGCGACTCGCTCTTGTCTTTTGACGATAGTGAGCTGCTGCTGCTGCTGCTGCGTGAACTTGTTCCTTTGGTTTGTGACCTTGATGAATGAACTATGTACATGACTCTACTAGATTACCATTTCCATATTCTTACCCTTGATGCGAATGCTCCAAAGTACTACTACTCATAACCTTGTCTTTCCTCCTGACTGTCTCTCCCCCGCCATTAGGCCGTTACCCATGACCTTAGGTAGGTGTTGTATAAACGTTCATACCACTATTTCCTGTCACCCTTTTTTTTTTTTGCTTTGCCCCCCCCTGTCGTGGGGGATTTCATAGATGACAGTAACAGTTACCTACGGGCAGTCGATCTTATCACGTTTACTTGTATCTCGGTATCTTTTTTTAATTTCCTTTTTCTGACTTACTTCTTCGTCTTCGTCTTCTTAATCTTCTCCTAAAACGCTATATCACAAATATTGGGTATCCATGATCCATCCAATCGACGCATCCCTTCTTCCAACTCTCTCTCGCTCGCTCGCTCCTTGCGTCCCCTCCATACGGTGCGCGGTGTGGAGTACTGCCGTCCTAGACCCATTGTGACTACCCTGCGTACAGGGGGAGACTTGATATACTTTTCTCGCTCCACCCGTCATCCCATCATCCATCATCCTGTTGATGATCTTTCGATTTCGGCCTCTACATTCGTAGTAGCCTCTTCCCATCGCAGACGTACCGGGCATTCCCCATTTTCCCTGTAAAATCAGCACGGTCAATCAATCGGGACGTCAATCAACCCCGTTTTTCCTTTCCCTACATACATACTCTTTACCTGGGGTGGAAGGGGGGGGGGGGGGGTGGGAGGACCTTGTCTGCCTGCGCATCCTTTACCGTTACCTTACATTTGTGTCCGAAGGAAGGAGGATAGGAATTTGAAAAGAACCAGGGGTTTTCCCTTCTACCTACTAGCTCTCTCACTCTCATTGTCTTCGCTTCGAGGATATTAGGGATTATTATTATTTTATTTTATTCATTCTCAGCGGTTTACTTTTACTTACTAAACCGCTGTTGCCTCTGGGACCTTTTTTTTTTTTTTACTTTTGGGGCCTGGCTTCAAGTCGCTATATATTTTTTTTTTCCTCCGTTCCCTGGCAAATATCCGACGTTAACGGTTGGGGTGCTTTTTTGGAACCTGGCCCACCACCATTACCAGGAGCACCAGCTAAGCTACTCTACCAGCACCTCCAGCAGCACCTCCACTACCCAGTTGCACGCTACTTTACTACCATTACCACTTACCATACCCCCCCTCGGCCTCGCATCACCATCCCGAACTAAATAATCCTCACTCGTCGCCTGGATTTCCTTTCCCAGGAACACAGAGAAAGAGAGGCGGTCCCATAAATACCCCCACGACGCCCTCTCCCATTAATTCAAGGTCACCCGTTGGATTAATACTTGTGTCCCCAAGCGGCTGCTACTACTACTGGTGTATTATTATTTGACTGTCGTCCGTTCCTCGAGTCGAAAGTGTTTAATAGTCTCCAACATTCCCACGTGCTCCCTCCCACCCCCACTACCACTACTCACTACCACTACCACTGCCGCTGTTGCTGCTACTACTACTACTACTACCACTGCTACCACTGCCACTGCCACTTGCCATTGATATAGTGGTATATCAGAAAGAAAAGAGACTGTATTTCATCCCATCTCTTCTCACGCGCGCACAGAGGAAAAAATATATATATATATTCCACTACTACTACAACTATCCCCCATCATCCCGTCCATACATCAATCCATACAATAATCACTCCAATACCCATATCCACTCATCCACCAACAACAACATCACAATACAAACCATCACAATGAATCTACCAAGCCTCGTCCACCCTTCGCACTCACAGCACCAGACCCACTTCTCACCAATGCCAGGCCACGGACACCGCCCAGAGCACTCGATGCTGAGCTCACAACATGGCCACCACCACCACAACCACCAGCAGCACTACTCGCATCACGAATACCACTCGCACCCCCCAGCGCCGCCTCCATCGCCGCCAGTGGAAGACAACTCAAAGTGCTCACTACCATCAATTTCAACATTGCTTGTATATGCCGACTGTGGACCTGCGAATAGCAATGGAACTGGTAAGCTTTTCTTTTTTTTCCCTTCGAGATGCATTATACATTACATTTACCGTATATGGTTTCTTTCCAATATGCGAACCCTATTTTTTTATTTTTTTTATTCTTATTTTTTTATACTTACAATCTGTTACAGGACAACAACCCAGCCAGTCGCACTCGCCATCCCAATACCACAGCCAGCCCTCACCGCATTCCATCACGCGAGTAACACTCCCACCTACGCCTCCAATGCGCCCCGACTCTGTCTTTGAGGGCAGCACAAACTCGCCCACTCTGCCCGCCCAGACCCCATCATATTTCTACTCGCCCAGCTCCAGCCACCGCAACAGCTACCCTCCCGTGCAGCAGAAGTCACCCGTCTACTCGTCGCCCGAGTCGCCGTATCCCCCGCCGCACCAGTCCTCATACTATCCACCTCCACCACCGCCGCCGCCATCGCAGCAGCAGCAGCAACAGCAGCAGTCGGCGTCTTCGCCGTCAATGGGGTATGGCAAGAGCCTGCCGCCGCACCCGCACATAATCCCCGTCTCGGTGGCACCGCCGTCAGCGTCGAATCCGTGGCACCACCACCACCACTCGTCGCCGGCGTCGCATGCCGCTTTCCCCCAGAGCCAAGACCGATACATCTGCCAGACATGCAACAAGGCCTTCTCAAGGCCGAGCAGTCTGAGGATACACAGCCACAGCCACACGGGCGAGAAGCCGTTCAAGTGCCCGCATCATGGGTGCGGCAAGGCGTTCAGTGTACGGAGTAATATGAAACGTCATGAAAGGGGTTGCCACCAATAGGGGTGAGCAATTGTGATGTGCGAAAAGGAACAAAAAAAAAAGGAATCTAAAAAAAAAAAGTATGGAACTATGGTATCATATGTGGGACATGATAATTTTTTTTTTTCGGCCTGGAAGGTTCTTCAAAAGAAAAAAGAATGACCTGAGGTCCTGGGTAATTTATTTGTTTTACGGGTTTTTTTTTTATTGTCTCTTTTTCTTTTGTGTATGGGTATGCGGTTTTTTGGTCGTTTATTTGTTCTATACCTGGGGGGTTTTGTCTTTTTGGTTTTCTTTTTCAAATGCTCATTAATCATCTGTCTTTATTAACCTTTTCTCTTATACTATCATCATTCATGGCGGGTTAACTTTGATTTTTGTAGCTAAAAGGGTACTACTAAAACGGGTATAGCAGCTGGAGCCATGCATCTTATCATATCCCGCTGCTGGCCGGGGAAAGCGTTGTGTATAATTCTTTTCTATTTTTTTTTCTCTCTGTTTACTATTTTCCTTTTCTCTGTCATCATCATCATCATACTGGCCGGCGGGGTTCATTTATCATACTTATCATACTAGGTACTACTACTACTACTACTACTACTACTACTACTACTACTACTACTACTACTACTACTACTACTATACTACTATACTACTACATGTACTACTGTCGTTTTATATAATCATTTCTCCTCATTATTTCTTTATGTTTTCCTTTGCATCAATTGTTACTGCCGGGGTGGCATGGGCGTCAAAAACTTGTGGAATTCGAATTCGAATATAAAGTATATATATATTATATGATCACGTTTTTTACAAGGGACTAGCTGGGCGGTGTTATATTATTCATTTCAGTACGAATTTTTTATTTTTTTCCCCGGCAATAACTAAAGTGTATGTACTACATGATGTTAAAGGAGAGAACTCGGACTTCTTGGGTGGTTCAAACTCTAGTTTGTTAGTCATGTTCTTCATATTATGACCGGAACCAGGCCAGGGGGACGGACCGGCCGGGGTGAGGCGGGGGTAGGTAGGTAGGTTTAAGGTCATGTCTGTCTAAAAGCAAATAAAAAGCAAAGCCAAAGGAAAGAAAAAAAAAGCTAAACCAAACCAAAATGTATTATAGAAATACCCGCTCCTGGCGGCAGATATATATATATATATCTTATATCTTATATATATACGCAGGGTCTGCTAAACCTCTTGGTAATTGGTACTACCCATTCTGAGCTCCCGGGAAATTTCTTTCGAGAAGGAAAAGGAAAAAAATTCTGTAAGCTTGTTTTTTCTTCTTGCGTTTTGTTTCTCCGGAGGCAGCAGCTGTGCTGCTATTATCATAGAAGCATCGTGATATGGGGATCCGAAAAGGGGGGGGGGAGGGGGAGATGAAATCATCATTACTCTATTGCTTGCACCACCCACCACCTCCTCCTCCCCCTTCCTGGTAGGTAGGTAGGCAGGACAGATAGACCAGACATGATCACCCACACGTGGTGGGGATCGATGGAATGTTCCGTTTTGCTTGAGTTTTTCTCGGCGCCGGTGCGGTGCGGTTGCGGTGCGCATCAGACATTGGGGCTTAATGCTTGCTGCTTGGGTAACTCATGGCAGTTATTGTGTTTCGGAGAACTCCCTTTTACCTACATGCCTGCCTGCCTGCCTGCCTGCCCTGTACCTGCGGTGCGGTGGGATATGAGGTAGGTAGGGAGCGCAGGGCAGCAGCGACAGAGCTGCTGCAAGTCAAGTAACGAGATCATCGTCATCATCATCTTCAGCAGGCTGGTACTCTACTCCACCGTTGCGTTGCGTGGTGTTTGTTGCAGACAGATTATTAAATCCCATTATCATCTGCACTTTCCTATATGTACCCGTCTAATAAATCGTCGTCCTAACTACATATACTCCCGAGATCATGTATATTCAGCTATAGTAATACAGTAGCTATAGTATAGAATAGGTATCTACAACATACAAGTAATTATAATTATAACAAGCACCACCGACCCCCCCCCCCTCCAGGCCAGGGCCAATTTCTAAAGATCAAGCATTAGGGTCCAACATTCCAATTGCCAATCCAATCCAATCCAATCCAATCGAATCCCATCCAGTCTAATCCAATCCACAGCCCCCAAACCCCAACCCCAAAAAGAAGCCTCGGAACCCGCCCACGGCCCGGCCAGGAATAAAATTCATGTGCAAGTCACAGAACCCATCAGCCAACCAACCAGCAAGGCCAGCCCGCCGCATCGGAAACGAAACGAGGGCATGCGATTCCCGTAAGCGAGGTTGGTTGATAGATATGATGCTCACCGCGCAGGCCCCAGGGCAGGGGAAGCACGTGGGCCACCATCCCTCCCCTTCTTCTCTCTACATACTCTTCTTCTACCCAACCCTGGGAGCCCTGGGAAAAAAAAGATAGAAGTTGCCCATTTGGCTCTACTGAAACCCCACCAGGCAACCCCCCCCAGCTGGATCTTCCGGGGAATCGTGCGCGGTTCCGAAATCTAGGGGAGTGGGTTCACTTTTTTCTTTTTCTTTTCCTTTTGGGACCTGGCTTCTCGCTGTCTCTGTTTTCCCTCGTGGAACGGGACTGGGGACTGTGGGATGGGGTCGGGGTCGGGGTCGGGGTCGGGGTCGGGGTCGGGGTCGGTCGGGGTTGACTTCAGGGTCCATCCTGCAATGTGGCTTGGTTGAATGTTGGGGACGATCAGAATGGGATGGGATTGGATTGGACCGGATTTGATTGGGGATATTGGGGTCGGCGGCGGCGGTGGTGGAAGTATGTACCGTCGGTTGAGTACAACATATGGCGCGCGGCATATAGGGAAGAGGCATGTATGTCGTAGATTTAACTGACTGGGCCTAGTAAGTATATGGATGGGGGTTCTGGACTGGTAATGTCGTTAATTGATGATATGGATGATGATGTGTATCAGAGTGTCACGTCAGTCGGGCGTAGAGTAGTTACATGGAGGTTTGAGCAGCTGGAGTTAGGAAGGTCGATAGATTGATATCGAATATGTGTATATTAGCATATCGGTACATGTATATTATGAAATGCGTGCTAATTGCGACTACTCTACTCTACTGTACTGCTTGCTCCCCTGTCCCGTCCTATCATGTCCCGCTCAATTCCTATCATTCTACTCTATTCTACTCATAACTCTACTCATACTCTACTCCTAGTACTCCTTGAATGTATCCTCTTCAGCTCCCTAACAAACGTTGGGTCAAGTATCAAACCGAACCGCACACTCGAGCTGATACAGTTTCCCGTTTTGGAGGAGGAGGGACTGCCGGGGGCGTGTCAACTCTAAACATCGGTGAGAATGGAGCCCTGCTTGCCCGTACTGTCTGTAGGCTACATACCTACATGTAGGGTACATGTAGGCACACACTGCAGTTCTGTAGGCAGACGACAACGACGACAACGACGACAACACCTGTAGCTAGCATCTCTACAGCTAGTGTATCAGATCTGATCATACCACAATTCCCAGCTTCTCTCTAACAGCCAGCCCAAATGAAATAAATAGGCAGATATACAAAAAAAATTTCCGGCGCATTCCCAATCCCAACTGCCCCCAATTCTACCGGTATACCGTTTTACCAGGATACCCGTGGATGATCCGATTTGGGCACAAAGCCGAAAACACGCTCACTCAGTGTTTTTCTTTCTACCCCTTCCCCTGGGGCAGGTAACAGTCAGTTTAGCGGCCGTTTGATTATCGTGGAGGGATCAACCCTCTCACCGTAGGTGTCAATTTGCGTTTTCTGGGTCCGCCGTCCACATCCGGATCGAGGGTCGTTGAGGGAAGCTTCTTTTCTACAAAAATTCCCCTACGCTCCGTAAAAAATATTCCCCTAGCTACATGTACTTAGCGAATACGGAATACGGGGATACATTGGGTTTGCAGGGAAGCTCCCTCCCAGCTTCTCCCCTCACTCTCCCTCCCACCCACCCCCCCGTACCGAGATGGGATTTCAAACCCCTCCGGGCAGAGAAAACACCGAAGCACCGAACAGTCTTCGTACCCATCGGGACCGGCTGGGTCAGGTAGGCAGATCAGTTATGTAGGTAGCGGTATAAGCAGCAGCAGTATGAGTATTAGCGACGTTTTGCCAGTTCAGTCATGTACCTACAACCAACCATACAACTAGCAGAACCACGCGCGCAACCAGCAGCTGCAATCCATGCATACTCTAGAACACCCGTCACTGTAGGTTATTCCTCCTATTCTCCCCTAGGCCCCCAAATCTCGGGATTGGAATCATGATCATGATCATCTCAGATCACCGTCTCCACCGTTCGTTCCCATTAGGCAGAAAAGGGCTCCCCTCGTAATAATAATCCTGATCACCACACCCACCACGCCCCGTAAATACACAAATGCAGTAAGGAAGAGTAGAGTAAGGTCGATCTGTCTGTACCACACTCTTTTTTTTTTTTTTTTTTTTTTTATGTATGTACCAACAGACAGACAGGGCTCAGATCCGGGTTTTCAACGGTAATCACTCGTCTGCCTATTTTTTTTCTGGCTTCACTTCTTCATGCTCTTTTCTTTTTTTGGACAATTTGCCTTGTCTTCCTCTCTCTCTCTCTTGCTGCTTTCCCCTCACTTTGGCGCTTGCCTGCTTGGTTGCTTGCGTGCAGAGAGCGCATGTGATGTGCTGCCGATGACGATATCGATACCGGTTGATTGGCCGGTGCGGTTCGGTGCGGTGCGGTGCGTGCGTGCGGTTGCTTATCGTCGCGTGGGTTGGGTTGGGGTGGTTGGCGTCATAGACGATCACTCGTATGTTGCAGACCCTGGGATGAGTGGGTGGGTGCTGGATGTGGACGCACGCACACTGGGAAATCGGGAATGCACGATGGAGGGAAGGGATGTGTGATGTGATGGGGAAGGGAGGGTGGGTGTTGAGATTTGAGCTGCATACCCTTCTCGAGCGGAGGGAGGGTGCTGGCCATGGGGGGGGGAGATATCGATGTATGTAGGTACTCTAAGCTCTAGAGTACCTAC